GGGATCAAATACTTATTTCATTCATGAAAATGCAAATTAATGTATAACTTTTTTGTAATGCATTTTTCTGGATTTTTTTGTTATTGTTGTGTCTCTCACTGTTCACATAAACCTACCATTGAAATTGTAGACTGATCATTTCTTTGTTAGTGGGCAAACTTACAAAATCAGCTGGGGTTCAAATAATTTTTTCCCTGACTGTATATACATTTCATGTTAAACAGGCATGTTTTGGGGATCAAGTAACAGGTTAGCTTCCATCTTTAATGCAGCCGTGGAAATAAACGAAGCCTTCAACAATGATATAAACTGTTCCAACATATTTCTGTTGTTGATGAGTTACAACAACAAATTCTCTCTGTACAAAGGCAGTGTTGGGAAAGACTGTAGCTGCACCCTCTGAAGCATCATTTGGAAAAGCGCCATTAGCAATGGAAGTCAGAGCTTTTCAGGGTTTCATCCTATAGCAGCATAATGAGCCACAGGCACCTCTAGGCTGTGTAGAAGAACAGAAAAAGCTTCAAGTGATGGAATGGCAGCACGGTGTCCAGGCTTTTTAGGTGAAAGTAAAGCAACCTAAAGGTGCAGCACATCTATGGGAACGTCTGCAGCAGTGCTGTCTGTCCCAACTATGTTTGATTGCAGTTGTAGAACCAATGGTGCAGGTGTGTTTGGTAGTTTAGATTACACTAATAGCAAGTGCAAATATGGAGCTGACCTCATACCTTTGAACAGTAATGAACAAACACATATGCAGTGGAGTGCTAAAAATACAGACTGTGGCATGGGAAGAATTCTGTATAATGAGAAAATGTATAATTAAGAATAATGGATCTGTGGAGTTGAGTTATTTATTTTTAGTCTGCTGATTTCTAGCATGATATTTAAGCAGTCAAGTTGATTTTAGGACAGTTAGGAGGGTATATACACTGATAATCATGCAGAGTTGCAACTGCTCTGTAGAGCTGCTGCCACACCTTGTTTGTTTAGTGTCTTGCTCCAGGGTACTGTGATGTTAGTTGATGACAAACCGGTGCTCGTTTGTGAAGTCTGCAGGCACAAGTGTGTCTCATAACCTCCATCCATGTTATGAATGAATCAAGTAGAAATCTGTATAGCTGAAGATTGCCACTGTTGTTTTTTTTTTTACAGCCGATAAAGCCTTAACTGACATGTCTAGAGAAGAGAAGTTCTCTGTGTCCAGATGTTACCTGGTAAGTTTATAACTGTTATTTTATTTATGCATGTTGAGTTGTCTGGACATCTGACTGGTTTCACCTGTATTCTCAATGTATTCTGTTTGTTCTTTGCTCATGGAAATCACATTGCCCTCAGTCAGAGAGAAAGAAGGTAACTAAACATCAAACTGTATTGCTATGGAACATTCAAAGTCTCTGTGTGTTTTGCAGACAACAGATAAAGAGGCTCCGGGTCTGATCCGCATGCAGTCTCTGGCCTATCTGAGTGGCTTCCCAGGCTCCTTCAAGGAGACAGAACAGCTGAGAGCTAAACTGCCCTCTGCCATAATCAACAAGATCAACCAGGTAAAAATGCCACCTATTCAAGTTATTTCTGTTTATTTGCACTGAAAATCAAATCCAAAACTTGATTCACAGCTGAAATAGTTCTTGGTGGTTTTGTGGTCAAGAGGAAATGTGTTGCTAATAACAGGAAGATAATAGGAAGATGAAGAAACTGCAGAAGAGTTTTGAAATATGTTAGCTTTCACCTTCTTTATCACATGAATCACATCTGCATGGTTAATCTGTTTTGTCTTTTGACCCTTTTATTTCGCAGTAACTCTTTTTATTGTATTTATTACATCAGAATCATATTTTGGGAAAGTACCAGATAGGATAAGAACACCTCACCTTTTTCCTTTAGAGTTCTTGCTAGTTTTAAATACAAATGCCAGTTCTCCTTTGACTCATTTTTCCTCTTTTGCCACTAGAATTTGTTATAGGTTCCTGAAAAGGAGAATTTTGAATTCACTGTCAATCAGCAGGTGGCAGTGTTGCACAGTAAACACTCATGGCTTATGACTTAGATTTTCTTACTTGATAAACGGTGAATGTGCACAAATTCCTCAGATCTTTGTAAGTACTGTAGTGTGATCACAATGCCACTGCTTTGCCACCAGATGTCACTCTCAGTGTCCTTTCAAGGTGCTGAACGATGTCTCTACATCATTACTACAACAGGCATATATATTTGGGTGTGCACAAATTAAGGTTTTGATCTTTTTATACATCACAGTGTCGTAATCTAATCACAAATGGAGAAGAGGTTGCACTGACTTGCTAAATATGGCCTTTCTCTATTTTAAACAGTTAAGTTATGATGTGGATTATAAGATATTATTAAGACAGTACGTATTATTTTTATAGCCACTCTTGCATTTCCATAAAGGTACATAAAAGAGTTCTATACTTAAAAATATCAAACAGTTTTTTCTGTTTGATATGCTTTTAGACAAAATTCAGTTGATTTACTAATTGAGGTTTTGCATCTATTACAGCACAGTGGTTTTAAAACGGGGTGGCTCTCTCTGTCAAACACTGGTGTAACTAATGCCGTTAGTTCCACATGTGCTTTTCCTGCTATAAAAGGTCTAAATGTCTGCAGTGAACAAAAAAGAAATGAATTCTAGACAAAATAATAAAATAATCATAGTGTATGTGATGGTCACAAATGTGCATCTATCTATGATGAAGCTGCTTCGAGTCAACCAAGTCAATCACTGAAACTTTATATGTGATGAAGTGTATGTTAACGGTGTTTAACCCACATATCATCATCAAACTCAGCTGTCCCATCATTCCCTGCCTTTGTCTCCAGGCTTGCCACAGAGTAGCGTGTTGGGTCATGTGATAATAACCAGCTTTAACCATAGCTGATGGTGCTGGGGTTAACATTAGAACAGCTGTTAGCAGTGGTGCCAGCCAAAACGCTGTAAGGTCACCAGGATTTTACTGACCTTCCCTGCACGCTCCGCTCACCCCTACCATTTCATCCACGTTTATTTGTACCTGGATTTACCTGTTTGGAGACCAGTTTTGATATTTTATAAGCAGAACTTGCTGAAAGGGGTGTTGCTGTACTAAAATGGAAGGAGTAAAGATGATACTGGGACATGTGAAGCCGCACAGGAAAGGGGTGTTGCTGTACTAAAATGGAGTGAAGCCGCACAAAATCCTGGAAAGAGCATGGAAAGTGTGTGTGTGTTAGGACTGTAGGAAGTCTAGCCACGCTGCAGCCACACAATGCACAGTTTGGATTTCAAGGTGTTTCCTGGTGTTGCCGGGGCCTTTCTGTGAAAGAGGGATGGTGTGCATAGTGTGGGGAAGCCAGGTTCAGAAGTGAGAGACAGTCGGTATTTAAAGCTGGTGTTAAACCAAGTGCCATAGTGACGAAAGCTGCCCCACAACCCTGATCATATGCCCGTGCTGTCGCTTGTTGAGTCGGTCCTTCAGTGTCTGTGTACAAGCCTGCTGATGTGTCTGTATTTTTATGTGTATGAAAAGCAAGACTCAGAGGCTTATTGTTACATGCTTATACCGTAGTGCAGTGGCGTACTCTGGCAATTAGAATGAGTGGGTGGTGCAGTTTTTCACCTTATAACGATGTCAAATGTAAATGCTGTAAGGTTGTAAGGAAGACTATGCAAAACAGTTTTCTACACATTTTTACTCTTTAGATGTAATAAAATGAACATTTAGGATATTCATTAATTGTTTAGTCTATAAAATGTAAGAAAACGGCATTGGATTTTGTCAAGATGACATCTTCATATTGCTTATTTTGTCCAACCAACAGTCTAAAACACAAAGAGAAAGCTGGACCCAGAAACTCGACAAGTGTCTTAAAAGAAGAGAAGGTCACAATTTGCATTTTAATTTTCTGAATAATCAGCTATAGGTTTAAATTTTTACTCAAGTAAACTGTGGAAAGGAGACAACTGTCTAGACACGTTTGGCTTAAAGGCAAATATCAAATGTCAAAACACCAAAGTCCTTACATAGCACATCTGGAATAATTGCAGCCATTTCCTTTCACATTGCATCTTTATTCTAGTTCAGCAACACTGTTTACTCACCTTCCTTGTACTGCAAAAAAGTGCAACTTAAGAAGTTTTATTTCAGGATCAATAAATCTTCTTTTTCATTATTTGGAGCAAACCTGTGTCAAAGTAAATTTTCTGGATTGTCTAATTAGTATCGTGAACATTTCCCAAAGTTTTCACTTTCCATGCCCACACAGCTGATTATCAGACTGGATGAGCTGAACTCTCAACCAAGCAGGTGATGTAAAATGACATAGCTTCAGCTCAGATGCAGCTGTCCTCGGTGCTGCATGCTACGGCAGTTCCACACCTTAGTCCATCTGCTTAAAAAGATCACTCACCACTGGGTTAATTGGTTTACACCATTGTTTACACAGAGTGTCAGCTCAATTACATCTAGACTAATGGCGTTTTCTGTTGCAAGTGTCTGACAGGCCAATGTGACCACAACTTAAAATGTGTTGTGATTAAAATATACCTGTGTTGATACTCTGGTGAGGAATAACTGTAGCTGCTTCCTGGAGGACTTGACAGTTAGTTGATAAACCCTAAAATTAAATTTCTCCTCCACTACGTGCACTACAAACCTGAGCAGCTCGACCGTCTCCGCTCCCTGGTACCTAGCACGTTGCTCCTTATTTTTAATCCTGTTTATGTGCTGCTGTGCGGTTAGTAATGTCAAAGGCTAAGTGACAATAATGAGATGATTCTTAAAACACTAGCAGAGGCCGACTCAAAGTCTGTGAACTGAATCAGTAATGTGGTTACTTAGCATTAGCTAATTTTAGTCACGATAATCTACCACAGACCACAGAAGGCTGTAGCAGCAAAACACCTGAAAGTACTAAATTGTGCAAGGGTTGATTTGTGGGGTGGAAGTAACAATAGATTCTAAACATGTTGAAGGTTATTATGAATTTATTTTGCAAGTCGGCTCTGGACCCTTTGGGACCCCTGATTTAGAATAAAATGTAAAAAAAGAAAAAGCCCCACACAGTTTACCAGAGTTCAGTATAGTGTCTTAAAATTGCCTGATTTGTTCAACCAACAGTACTTAACCTAAACAATAGTCAAGTTGCATTTAAGAAGCTGGAGCCAGAGAATGTTCGACACCTTTTTAAGTCAGTTAATCAACAAATTTTAGAACAAGTAAAATTATTTGTTTTAATTATTTGGAATAAATATGGTCATTCCATTCTAGTAAATGAACAGGCTTATTGGCCATAATATAGTATGTATATGAAATGGTTTTGCACTAGCTTGCAAGCAGGCACATGCCTCTGTGAGACCACCGCACACCTCTGCTTGTGTGTATGCATCAGAGCATTATCAGGACTATAAAGAGAGCTGCAATAAAGATGGCAATGCGAACTAGGGTTTGCTGGACCGAGCTGTGTTTGTAAGTCCCAGCTGATCCTCCTCACCTAAAAACAGGAGCAGAGACAAACAAGTCAAGGCAGGCTTATATGAGATCTTTATGTTCAGAACTGGGCGGAGTGAGTTTTTTTTTCCCGGGCAGCTTAAAGTCTGACAGATGATTGAGGCATGACAGATGGTTTGAAATGGACAAGGCCAGGGGTGTCTCACTCATATGCACCACACACACAGAGTCCTGAGATGCCTCACATAGCTCCCCTGAGATCAGATGGAGAGCCAACTCCATGTGACCCCAGTGGAGAAAATGACATCATTCAAACCCTCCCCTCTATAAAGAGCCTGTTGCCTCCACCCAACCGTTGTAGCTGCTTTGTTTTGACCTCTGTGGGTGAGGGGTCACGCCACGTGTTTTTATTTTCACACTCAGTCATCTCCATCTTTCAGAAATCTTCCTGTCCCAGCCATTGACTCACTGCTACACTGTGGCTGTCTCCAGCTTTTGAGAAATGTATATTTAGGAATTTCCCACAGTGCATGTGATGATTTTTGTTTTTTTTTTTGCCTTAGAGGAGTATTCCACAGATTTTGCATTTGACAGTAACTAGACACAGACTCTGGAGGCAACCTTATCGGCTCTTGAGAACAGTGTCTACCTTGAAGTGATCTGGTTCAAACTGTCAAAAGTTGAAGTTCTCATTCACCTGAACATTTCAATGCCTAAATGTGGGATATTTTGGCCTCTGTTGCTTCAGTTTTGACAATTCCTTTTTCTTATCAGTCTGCCAATTTTATGTAAATGAAATTCCACATCCCTGGAGGACTTTTCCAAACATTAACACTGTGTTGTTAATTTGGTTTGTTTGTGTCTCAGTTTGAGTTGTACTCAGAGGCCAGCATCGCCCTACTCCACCTGAAAACCCCACAGGACTTCACTGACCTAGTGCAGCAGGCTAAAAAGAACTTGACTTTGGATGGAAAAGAGCTAACTGTCAACCCTGGCTATTTGTTCTGGGATCTGACTGCCATCTCGCAGGTACCACTGGTGCTACCGCTCTCTTATATGCATATTTAAGTAATGGAGGCCATTTTTATTAACTTTTAGAACAGCAAAGATATGTTGGTGGGGTTGAAACATGTTTGAATGTTTGTTAGGAGCAGTTTTATCTCCTGACATGCAATCCAAACATGTGCTATTCACTCCTCTCTCTTCTGATCTTCTCTTCAGTCCAAACAGGATGAAGATGTTTCAGCCAGCAGATTTGAGGACAATGAGGAGCTCCGCTACTCACTGCGCTCAGTGGAGAAACACGCTCCCTGGGTGCGCCACATCTTTATTGTCACCAATGGGCAGATTCCCTCCTGGCTCAACCTGGATAACCCCAGAGTTACCGTTGTCACACATCAGGTAAAAATTAAACCTCGACTTTTCCCACAGTGCTTATAATTACTAAAACACTGATTTGCCTCACCTCAGCAGACTGGGTTAAAAACTGTTGATCAGTTACTCCTATGCACCAGAGACTGATCAAGATTTTAACTGTTCACATACAGCAGTGACTCAAGTAGAGGCTACAAGGCTAGAGTCCATTCTGCTGCGGCTGTCACCGCACAGGCTAAACTAAAAGTAGATTGGGGGATATCCGGTAGCGGAGCACTGCCATGCTATTCATCATGGGACTCCAGATTACCCTATGGCGAGGCATCATCTAGCAGCCCAGCATGGTGGTGATTCCACTTCGAGAGTTACAGGCATGGAGGGCATAGCTGTGGGCAGCACAGGCAGCGCCAGACAAATGTTTTAAGTGAGGTGCGGCATACTCAATTTACAGCCTCAGTGCTACGAGGTAAATGAACCTGACCTCTCCTCTTTCCTGGGGCTGGTACAGTATTAGGTGGAAGGTGTGGTTTTTACTGTTACTGCTGTACTGTGAACTGCTTCCTAATATATTAGTTGGGCACTTTTACAAAGTTATTCTTGTGCCTCTTGTGTTGTATCTCAGTATGTTGTATCGTCTCTTTTTTATGTTTCCATGTAGAGATGCATTTTGAGCTCGAGGTCTCCATGTTGAATGTGAGGGATTTTGCCCCCTGTGGTTACATTTAATAGTTCCTTTGTTTCAGTTTGCACTAGTGTTGTAACAGGTCCTGACATGTATGTATTAGGTCCACTCCACACAGTTGTATGGAATTACTACTTATTGGCTTGGGTTCATTATGTATCAGGTTAACCTCAGGAAGACAATGTGTTAGTGTATTTTGGTGGATTTGGATCATTTATGCCACACCCTATTGATTTAAGCATATTTTTCCTTATTAAATTATATCTTTTTCCCCTCCAACAGTGCCAGAAGCGCTCCCATTTGCCATGTTTGGTTTGTAAATGATATATTTAATTATCATTTACAAACATTTTACTGTATACAGAAATGTTTTCTTTGACTTGCAGGATATCTTCCTGAACCACAGTCACCTCCCCACCTTCAGCTCCCCTGCTATTGAGACCCACATCCACCACATCCCAGGGCTCTCCCAGAGGTTTATTTACCTCAATGATGATGTGATGTTTGGCAAAGACGTCTGGCCAGACGACTTCTACAGCCACTCTAAAGGGCAGAAGGTGGGAGGGGCATTTGCACTCCATTTGTTTTTCTCATTAGTTTTGCAATGCAAAACTAATTTGAGTAAAGACTTGTTAAATCATCAGATACGAAGGGTAATGAGTTCAGTCAGTTGGCTGGACACACCTCAAACTGAGACACAAACAAACCAAATAACAACACAGTGTTAGTGTTTGGAAAAGTCCTCCAGGGATGTGAAATTTCAAATTGGCAGAATGATAAGACAAAGGAATTGTCAAAACTGAAGCAACAGAGGCCGAAATATCCCACATTTAGTCAGCTTTTTCTTTCCTCACGTCACCGCAGGTGTATCTCACCTGGCCTGTTCCCAACTGTGCTGAGGGCTGTCCAGGATCCTGGATCAAAGATGGGTACTGTGACAAAGCTTGCAACAACTCTGCTTGTGACTGGGATGGAGGAGACTGCCTAGGTAGAGAAAGCACCGTTATGTCTTCTGTATAAATTAACTCATTTGTCTCATTCATGCCAGATAAGTGATCTCTTCTTTCTGACAGGTGCAGCTGGGAACAGTCGGTTCGCTGCAGCGGTTGGTGGTGTTATGCCTGGTGGAGCTGGTGGACAGGTGTGGCAATTTGCAGTTGGTATGGGTGTAACACCCTGTAATGTAGGCTGTGCCAACTCCTGGCTGGCAGATAAGTTCTGTGACCAAGTCTGCAATGTACTTTCATGTGGCTTTGATGTGGGCGACTGTGGCCAAGGTGAGTTTAAAGCAAATACATATATGTTATTATGTTTTTAGCCCAAATTCCATTATAACAATAATAGAATCTGGTATTTGGTAAATGTTCGGTCAAAGGATAAGTCTGGTGACATTCTTATTGTTAATAAATTTCATGAACAATGAATTTAAAGACTTGCTTTCAGTAGGAACCAGCTTGGGGCTGAGAGCCACAAACAGGGTAGTGGAGGTGAAAGTACTGAAAGATGGATTAATGCAATATTGGTTCTGGTCTTCTCCTGGGATTTGGTGTTAATAGATAGAGAATAAATTTATTCTTGTTTTTATTTCTGTTCCAGAGCATTTTGGTGAGCTGCACTGTGTCACCTTGTTGAGGAACCACACCCTGTACACCCTCCCGGTGGGGGAGGTCAGGCCATATTTCAGCTTCGAAGGACTGGCTCGCAGAGTCTCTGCGGCCCACGTCAGCGACAACCAGGTGATTCGCCACACCTCAGTCGCCAACAAGTGGAAAACCATTCACCTGCTGCTTTATCCCGGCCACAATGCCACCCAGATCCAGTACAACCTCACTTTACAGAGAGAAGACGACACAGAGTTCACAATGAGTTTCTCTGTAGCTGTCGACACTCGTGAGGTTCCTCACACTAACCTTTCTCAGACTGTGAGCAAAGACGCTGGCAAGGAGCCGAAGGCAACCCCGACCCAAGAGCCTGTATTCCCTTTTTCAGATATTCCTGAAGACAAACGGGGTCCTAAGATCCAGAAGAGGCAGCCTGGTGAACCTCAGGTTGTCATAGAGGTTCCTTCACTGAACATGTCACTTTTACCAGCTACTGTACGCAATGAGCTTGAGAAACTGGAGGAGAAGCTTCTGATTGGCGACATTACTATGAAGGGTTATAACCTCACTAAGGCCAAACTTCTAAAAACTTACAAGACACAGTTTCAGCAGCAGCAGGTTCTTGATTCACAGCCAGGTAATGATGGTACAGCCAAGATCTGGGGGAAGCCTTATAAAGACCTGGAGGGAGAGCAGCTGGAAGGACAACCACCTGTGGAGGCGACAGCTGGAGGTATCATTCAGAAAAATCTGAATTTGAAAGATATTTCCAGGAAAGACATGGCTGTGCAAGACAAACCTCTCTCTCCTCTTATTCCACTTCATATTGATGATAAGCAAAAGAAAGACTTTGTGGGGCCAAAACCTTACCCTTTCAATGCTGCTATCGAGAGGCCTATGATTTCCAAACTGCTAAACAGCATTTCCAATATCAGGAGCGCTGAGAGTCGGACAGAGCTGTCCAGTGCTCCAGAGGGAGCTCCAGAGGGAGCTCCAGTGGGGCGAAAACTCCAACATTTCACCTCCTCTGATAGAGGCTTCCTGCCATGGGAGAGGAGGAAGTACTTTCAGTACCTACTTGAGGTAGGTAGCTGCAGCTTTGACTTTGAATCATTAATCTTGCATTTTAATTTCTTTCAATATCACTTCCTTTGTGATGGCTCTATAGGAAGAGGAGCGTCTGCAGAAAGAGCTGATGTATGAGACTGATGGCGCTGCTACTGGGCGACGGCTGCAGGACACTTTTGCTGACTCGCTGCGTTATGTCAACAAGCTGCTCAACAGCCAGTTTGGCTTCACATCCCGCAAAGTCCCCGCCCACATGCCACACATGATTGACCGTCTCATTATGCAGGAGCTGCAGGACATGTAAGGGATATAGTATTATGTCTTTTGTACAGATTTCTAGATATTCCTGAATATGTTAAACTGTGCTATTTTCTTCAGATTCCCAGAGGAGTTTGACAAAACATCAGCCCATCGTGTGCGTCACCCAGAGGACATGCAATTCGCCTTTTCATACTTCTACTTCTTGATGAGCGCTCAGCAGCAGCTCAACATCTCCAAGGTGTTTGATGAGGTTGATACTGATCATTCGGGCGTTCTGTCTGACCGTGAAATTCGAACGCTTGCCACAAGGATCCACGAGCTGCCACTCAGCCTCCAGGTCAGATATACTGTATTTTCTCTTCCTAATATAAGCCTTTGAGAACTGTTAGATAATACACTGTTCAAAAGGTTTAAGGGATCACTTAAATCACACATCAGATCTTATTGAACTATTTATTAAAATTGAAAACCTTTACTAAAGTACATTGTATAACTTGTTCAGAACAAAATAACATAGCAACAGTCAGGGGAAACCAAAACCATCAACCGGTGGAGGGCTGTATTTAAAATCACACTGAAAATCAAAGTGAAAAACTGAAATCACAGGCTCATCCAAGCTGAATTTCATCACGACAACTCATAATGTGACTCAGAAGTGTGTATGGTCTCCGTGTGCCTGTATGCACTGCTGACAACACCTGGGCATGCTCCTGATGAGTCGGCGGATAGTGTCCTGGGGGATCTCCTCCCAGACCTGGATCATGGCATCACTGAGCTCCTGGACAGTCTGGGGTGCTACTTGGTGGCGTCGGATGCATGATACATAATGTCCCATAGGTAGTCTATTGGATTTAGGTCAGGGGAACGTGAGGGCCAGATAATGCCATCAACGCCTTCATCATCCAGGAACTGCCTACACACTCTGGCCACATGGAACCGGGCATTGTCCTGCACCAGGAGGAACCCCGGGCCCACTGCACCAGTGTAAGGTCTGCTAGTCGCTCTGAGGATTTCATCCCAGTACCTCATTACAGTCAGGGTGCCGTTGGCTATGACATGGAGGTCTGTGCAGCCCTCCAAGGATATGCCTCCCCAGACCACCACTGACCCACCACCCAACCAGTCACACTTGGTGATGTTACAGGCAGCATAACATTCACTACGGCATCTCCAGACTCTTTCACGCCTGTCACATGTGCTCGGTGTGAACCTGCTCTCATCTGTGAATAGAGCGGGGAGCCAGTGGCAGACCTGCCAGCTCTGGTGTTCTCTGGTGAAGGCCAATCATGCTGCACGATGCTGGGCTGTGAGCACAGGTTGTACTAGAGGATGTGGGGCCCTCATGCTGGATGGAGTCTGTTTCTGACAGTTTGGTCAGAAACATGCACACCAGTAGCTGCTGAAGGTCACTTTGTAGAGCGCTTGCAGTGCTCCTCCTGTTCCTCTTTGCACAAAGGAGCAAATTCTTATCCCGCTATTGGGTTGCTGCCCTTCTACGGCCCTGTCCAGCTCACCTGGCATAACGGCCGGTTTCCTGCTATCTCCTCCATACTCTTCAGATCGTGCTGGGAGACGCAGCAAACCTTCTTGTGACTGCATGTATGGATATGCAATCTTGGAGTAACTGGACTACCTGTGCAATCTGAATGGGCTGCAGGTACTGCCTCATGCTACCAGCAGTGACAAGGGCACTTGCAAAAACAAAATATGAGAAGAATCAGTCAGGAAGGATAAGGAGAGAGCATTTGTCTGTGGCCACTGCATTCAAAACCATTCTCTTTTGTCAGGGTTGTCTTGCTTCTGCCTCTCTGTTTCACCTCTTGTTACTTTCATTTGCATCAAAGCAGGTGAAACTGATTCACAATCACTTGTGCATCCTAAATGGACAGATTGATATCCCTGAACTTTAAATGACTTAGCATTTTACCTTAATGATTAAGTGTTCCCTTAATTTTTGTGAGCAGTTTAGTTTACACGAATTCTTGTGGGTTTTGAACTACATGTGTTTATTATATGTATGTGGTATCTTATAGGACCTGACAGGTCTGGAGCAGATGTTGATAAACTGTTCTAAGACGCTTCCCACTAATCTGACCCTGCTCCACCTGGTGAGCCCCACTCAGGAGGCATACTATGACCCCAGCATGGTAAGTCAAATCAGAGAAACAGAAAAACCCAGACTGATGTTTTGTAGCACTTGTAATGCTGAGATTCTGATCTTTTTTTATTTTATTTACAGCCTCCTGTCACAAAAGGCCTTGTCCTCTACTGCAAGCCCATCACACAACGCATCCACAAAGCCTTCAAAGACCAGAACAAGTACAAGTACGTAACACTAACAGAGCCTGACAAAGGATTAAAGATATTCTTCCTGTTTGGCTCTACTTTTGCTGTAGTGCTACTAATATGTTTTTTCTTGGGCAGGTTTGAGATCATGGGAGAAGAAGAGATCGCTTTCAAGATGGTGCGGACCAATGTGTCCCATGTGGTCGGCCAGTTAGATGACATTAGGAAGAATCCAAGGTGAGTAGATCATCATCGTTTCTTTTTCAGTTTTCCCCTCTATGTATTGCAACCAGACTTTACATTTTTTCCCACCACGGTTTCCATGGGTCCTTAAAAAAATCTAAGATCCATTAATCTGAATTTTAGTATAATTGACTGAGTATAATTTTGACAGGGCTTATACTGTAAGTTATTGATTATGATTATGTTGATTATTTTAAAAAGTTCAATTGATATTACTTCTGTTATTTTCTTTCTTTTATGTGTTTTTGGGAGAATGTGTAGGTGAAAAAGTAGTGCTCTACATTGGTACTATGTTTTTTTTTATCCAAGAATTACTTGTAGTGTAATTAAATCACAATCAACATGAATACGCAACTGATTTTTCTTCATATCCAACATACATTTTTGCCAGTATGGGTGAGAAATTATAAATTGCATTCAAAATGGTCTAAAAGGTCTTAAATAAAAGTCATAAATTTAACTAGATGAAACCTGCAGAAATCCTGTACCACACTGGCTGTTAAACTGCACTAATATGTGCATTTTCACCCAACAGGAAATTCATCTGTCTGAATGATAACATCGACCACAGCCATAAGGACGCTGCTACAGTGAAAGCTGTGCTGAGAGACTTCTACGAGTCCATGTTCCCCCTGCCATCCCAGTTTGAGCTGCCCAGAGAGTATCGCAACAGGTTCCTGCATATGGAAGAGCTCCAGGAATGGTAGGGCATTAAGTGTTGAGAACATATTAATTAGTTGAAATTGCTTTAGCTCACTTGCTACTGAGGCTGCAACCACAGTATTATTAGCCAGTGTTGGTGGGCTTGTCCTGATGAAGCCAGATAGCATTTTTTTTTTGTTTGGTTAAACTTTGAAGCATCACATTGTTTGATTAATGGGCCAATAAAATAGCAAAAAATGCCTAACACATTCTGTCTGACTAAGGTTCTGCCCCAGTTGGCCTTAGTTAATAGTTCGCAGCTGTCACCATGTGAGTGTTGCCTGGTTGGGGCAGTGGGAATCCCTTGGTGGCTTTAGAGGGTTTTTGTCAGGGACCCTGTTCCGGTGTCCATGGCACTTCAGCTGGAGAATCCCAGCCTCGCAAAGAGACTAATATTAGACCAAGTTGCTTCAGATCAGTTGCTAGCTATAAAATACTTGCACGATCATCACACAACTGATTCTCTCATTGCCTCTCCTGCCTTTCCAGCTCTCTGTCAGTGTCAGAGTTAAGAAGGTGGCAGGCAGGTGGTGTTGGGTAAAGTCACCTTGTCACCCTGCTGACCCCTTCATAATTGCATGCTTTCGTCTTGTTACATCAGATAACTAGTCTATCCTAAAGTGAGACCTGATGCCTTCAACCTTTGCCTCCAATTCAAGAAATCCACATTTTATTTCTGCATCTGTACTTGTTAGTGTTGGGCATGGCAACAAAGGATGAGTTCTGTTTCTTAATTTAAAATGAACTGAGATGTGTTTTTCTCAGGAGGGTGTATCGGGACAAGCTGAAGTTCTGGACGCACTGTGTTCTTGTGACACTCATCATCTTCACCATCATATCCTTCTTTGCTGAACAGGTCAGTGTGTCCACCTCAGACCACAGTTTATTAACAGTTATGGACACACAGGGCATTAACACAAACACCTCGTTTTCCATCACTAACACTCGAGCTATGATTCAATCCTTCTGTACCAAAATTTCACTCTGAGGTGGCTTTGTCTCATATGTCAAGTTAGCATGACCATCTCAGCCAGGACCTGTCTTGACAGAAATGAAAGGCCCCCTCCTCTGTGAAGGGTGAGCCTTGGATCAGATAGTTTATAGTGTTTTCACCTTGTTTGTGGCCAGAAAAGTGGGATTTCTACCTGGAGGGGTGTCCTAGGACCATTAAAGCAAAAGTCTGGAAAGCTTTTCTGTCAGACTCTTCCAGTTTGGTACTGGACACAGATTAAAACAAATGCCAAGAATTATTGAGCAAGTGCTGTTCAAGTTTGACATTGAGCTCCTGTGAGGCACTTCACTAATCCAGAGGTTTCTGGTTTCTCTTCAGCGAACATAAAGAGAGGTTTAAATTTGTGGTGACCTTAGGAGAATTTTCCTCTCAGTCACTGCATACGGATTTTTGATGTCTTCTTTTGGCACAAGACGACGCTGCCTGTCATGCTATCTAAATTATTATGACAGGAAAATTTGAGTCAGCTTTGCACACTTAAGACTAGAGAGATCAAAAGTGTCTTCACTCCTCAGATGGAGGTTATTTGAAGGTACTCTACTGCTCAGCTTCCAGGATTATATTTGATTTCTTGAGTTACAAAGGGGAATTTGGTGTCAAAGTATTTCTGTGTGACCATGTCCTGATCATTAAACCCTCTGACGCACAAGATATTCTACATTTTTTAAAGCACAAGACGAGTCAAAAATGACCCACATTTATTTTTATATATGTCATATTTTATCCATAGCTGAATGATTCATTGAAATATCTTTAAAGATAATGTATGTCATTACCTAGTACTTTAAGAAACAATCAGGTGCTTTGTTTTTTAAAAAGTACAAGTCATTATTTTATTTTGGCATGATTTTAAACAGATGTGGCAGTGCTGTTAATAAGGAACAAAACACAGTGTTTTTTTAATTGGAGTTTTAAGTATCTCAGGGTCTTGTTCACAACTGAGGGTAAAATTGAGCGTGAGATTGACAGGGGGATAGGGCCAGCAATGTGGACGTTGCACCAGACTATTGTAGTGAAGAAGGAGCTGAGTCTATGCTTCAACCCTCACCTATGGTCATGAGCTATGGGTAGCAATACGAGCAGCCAAAATGAGTTTACTTCACAGGGTGGCCAGACTTAGCCTTAGAGATAAAGTGTGGAGTTCGGACAACCAGAAGGGACTCGGAGTAGGACCGCTGCTCCTTCACATTGAAAGGAGCCAGTTGAGATGATTCGGGCATCTTATCAGGATGCCTCCAGGGCGCCTTCCTTTGTAATATCTCAACTGGGTGGGGAACTCCTTGAAATCCTGCTGGAGCTGGAAAACTTTGCTGGGGAGAGGGACAACTGGACTACCTTGCTGAACCTGCAGCCACCGCTACCCAAACTTGGATAAGCGGAAGAAAATAGATGGATGGATGGAAGATTATGACTGTTTGTGTTTTATCACCTTAGAAGTATTGTTTGTTGGTATTTGTGATTTTGGTGAAGATCAGATCACATTTAATGACCAATTAATGCAGACAACCAGGAAACTGCAAACAGTGCCATTACTTTTTCTTGTAACTGTATTTCTAACCACAGGCCAACTTAAAGAATGATGTGCATGTATATGCACATGATTGGTATTCTGATGTGAACAAAACTTAGATATGTCACATAGGTGTGTTAAGGCAGTCTCTTGGCAGGTGAAACTGTGACTCTAAGAGGAATAATTCACAGTAAAACATGTTCTTAATTACAAATATTGTGACAAATGAAAGTTTCCTATTAAATTCCATTAAGAATACATGTTTGACCCATCTTGCATATTAACATGATCTTGTGTTAATTGGAAAGATTTTTAGTTACTGGTAGGTGGATTTGGTTACTGTAGAACAAGGCTAGCTGTTTTAAGCCTTTATGCTAAGCTAAACTAACCAGCTGCTGGATGTAGCTTCATATTTAACAGACGCATCTAAGAAAGGTATTAATCATCCAAACCTCTGCCCCGGTGCAGTTATTAGGTGTATTTCCCAAAATATCAAACTGTTACTTCAAGTGTAAACATCCCCATCCCTTCTATATCACAGGTGTTCTCTTGCTAACACAGCTGCATTTAATTTCTAATTATGCTAATTCCCCTCTTCCTGCAGCTGATTCAGCTAAAGCGAAAGCTGTTCCCCCGGCGCAGGGTATACAGGGACAGCAACTCTGAGCGGGTGTGAAAGAGGAAGACTACCCCCTCTCTTCTCCATTCTGCACCTCAGCCTCCACCCCTCCTCGCCTGCTCTGTAGAGACAATGGGAGAGAATCCAGTCCAGGGGACTGGGTGGAAACAGAAATCTGAAGGTCCTCAGTGTGTGTGTTGCATCAGCACCCATGGGGAATAGAGAAATGAAGTGAGATGGTGATGAAACATTTTTTTTTAGAAGATGACAAATGGGGCTGCCTGCTGAAGGGAATCAGAGCCAGAAAGAGGAAGCCTATGAATCTTCATTTCCCCCACTGGGTGGCATCTGAGACTTCTCACCCAACACATAAACAAAAACTAACCACCCCTCTCATGTCCTCTTCAGGTCACTGCCTGATAGGTTGTTGAAATGTGAAACACAGCATATCAGGGGTCATGGTGTTTGTGTGCAGCAAGAAAGTTTCACCATAAAATCCATAGGGTGTTTAGATTAAAGATGAAAGATTAGTCGGTTAATCAACAGCAACCAATCTACAACTATTTTGAAAATTGATTCAAGTTTCTTTTTAAGCAAATATCCCAAACATTTTCTGATATTAACTTCTTAAATATTCATATTTGCTTTTAATTGAACGTCTTAAAGCTTCGAACAGTTGATTGAACAAAACAAAATGTTTGAAGGTGTTACCTTGGGGTCTGGGAAGTTTTCACAATTTTTAGACATTTTCTAGCCAAATGATTAATTGAGAAAATTGTCGACAGACTTGTTGATAATGAGGAAAAATAGTTTCTTGTGGTTGCGTTTTTTTTTTACTGCTTGTGGTTAATTTTAAAGCGATGGAAGAGAAAAGTATGCAAATTATGAAGAGAATTCATTTAGTTGTTGCCATTATATCTTCCTTGTCTTTAAGAACATCAAAACTTGAAGTGCCTTCGTTGTTCATTCCTGTTCAAGCATTTGTTTTTTTTTTTTAAATGTCTTATGCGTGTTGGCCAATACATGATGAATGGGATATAGAACAATATGAGTATCTTTCTTGATGTGGTACAGATGTAATTGTTGGAATTGATACTACAGCTTTCATAGCAGTCTCTATGTGTGTCCCTGTGGGACTCAGCAGGCTTGCTACTGTCTGAAATTCAGACCCCCTCAGCATGTCCTGTAACTTATTTTGATTGTATTGTAACTGTCAGTCCAGTCAGGACACATCTGATTTGAATGCTGCAGAATGTAAATATAGTCTCATAAAAGGCTTGTCAGTTGAATGTCAGCTTTACAAAGTTCTTCATTGTAATGACAAATATGGAAGTGACTAGTAGACACTGTCAGCATTTTGCTGCTGCTCTTTAAGTCATATGATGTGTGATGTCAGCAGGCAAAGTAGTCAAGAAAATGAGTAACATATTTTAAAATCAGTGTTTCCTCAGATTGCATCAGTTCAACGATTCCTCTGCCTGAAATAAAGTGTGATTTTGTTCAGTCACTGTGGTCCAGTGTTGTGGTACGCTTACCATTTTTCTGCTCTTTTATACTTCTACTCCACTATATTTTAGAGGGAAATATTGTACATTTTACTCCACAACATTTGTAGTTACCAGTAGTTTGTAGTTTTCAAATTGGGGTTACACCCACAAACAATGCAGATTTCTAATCAGCTTACAGCTCCTTAGATTTATTAAGGGATGCTTTGGAGTGAGGCAACTTCCCAGTGGGGAACCACTGGACTAAAAAAACCAAATTGTATATAAAGTAGTAAAAAAAACTAGCTCAATCTCAACCAGCCACAACTGGAAAATACTGCTCATATACTGACACATCAGTCATAACCTGACAATGTACTTACACCGATTAGGCATAACATTATGACCACTGAGAGGTGAAGTGAAGAACACTGATTATCTCATGGCACCTGTCAGTGTGTGGGGTATATTAGGCAGCAAGTGAACATTCAGTCCTTGAAGTTGATGTGTTGGAAGCAGGAAAAATGGGCAAGTGTAAGGATCTGAGTGACTTTGACAAGGGCCAGACAGTTATGGTGAGATGACTGGGTCAGAGCATCTCCCACACTGCAGGTCTTGGTGGGTGTTCTTGGTCTTCAAAGGTTAGTACCTACCAACAGTGTCTAAGGAAGGACAAACGGTGAACTGGAGACAGGGTCATGGATGCCCACGGCTCACTGATGATGAGGTTGACCTACTGTAGATTAAACTTTTAACTTCCATTTGTACTTTTCTAAAGATTAAAACTTATTTGAATCTTTGTTAAAATGGTTGAAAATGAGAAATACTGTACATTGGTCTCTATGAAGAGAAAGAGTCAGAGGCTGTAGTGGTGATATCACACCTAGAGAGGTGAGGCTGTTGAATTCTCTCTAACTTGTCCTGGTGGTTTTGCCACTTGTGCTTAAATATGAGCTTTCTATATTGTCTGTGAAGTTTTTCCCAGGTAGGCCTCCATTTTTTATTAATGTACCTGGTATTTTGCACAAATTAATATAATAGAGTAAGTTACTTGTTTATTTAAAAAAAAGAAACTGAACAACTATGTGAATACTGTTTACTTTGTAGCCTTCAAATGAATAATATATCACTGAAGGGCCTTTGACAGGGTAGGAAACTTAGTTCTTCCAACCTTGTAATTTCATTGGTTGTACTTCTCGTCAATCATTCTGCCAAAGCCTGTGACTGGCTAGTGCAAAATTGAGAGCAAGTTAGGTTGTCCCTCGCCGAGTTGGTTGGATGATTACATTGATTGATGTGCTGACTTACCAGTGTGAGAGCTACATGAATGTAAAGAGGTGTATTGTTTACATGTGAAGTCTAGCAAACACTACAAAATGGTGCTGCTGGGTTAGAGCAATAGCAGCTTACTGAAATGGCAAACACAACTACTCCAGTTTTTGGACTTTTTTTCTACATGACAGAATGTTTGCTGGACTTGGGTGCACATCTGTGCTTCACACAACAGCAAAAGGTAGGGAGCGACTGTTATGTTTTGTGTGCTATACAACATATGTGCCACGGGTGGGACAGCCTTGACATTTTCCTCCATTTTTGTTTTATGCGAGTACTTTTTACATCACTGACAGTGACATCAAAACACATGAAAATATTTTCTTTATTACAATATTTTCCAGTGAAAGTGTTGAAATTGAGATTATACTGTACATTTCAATGCATAGTTCCCAAATCTACTGTAAATTATGTAAGATCTTTTTTTTTTTCAGAAATGTCCCTCTACCCAAGAAGATAACTTTATTTTTCCAAATAAAATATGAAAATCCAAATAAAAAAATAAAAGTCAGCTAAAATTTGTTTACCAGCACTAATTAAATATCCCTTTTGATTCCAGCGAACCTGAATGAGCCAGTCAGATTAATGTTCAATAATATTGAATCACTCAGAAAATTACTGATAATTCAACAAGAAGCAAATTAATCACTGGCCTATACATATTATATAGCCTGTTTGTATAAGTGAAGGAACATCATGAGTGAACAATGAATAGTTAAAAAAACAACCCTCCAATAGCACTCTATTATTACCATTGTTGTATCATGTATGATACTTAAATGAAAAACAAAACATACAAACCTGCTTTGAATATTCACAAGTTAAACAGTAATTATAACAAAAATACTGAATTCTGTACAATCACGAATAACCAATTATTAGCCCTTTAGAGAGAAGAACAAAGAAAGCAGAACAAGTTGAGTGTTAACGCTTCATCAGTTGACAGCACTAAAGGCCACAGGTGACATGTTTTTTTTCATGGATGGTAGGATGAGATGAACAAACGTGAACAAAACTATTAGAAACAAAGCCTTAGAGAAAACCAGTCACTGTTTTCAGCGTTAACACAGATGTTACCCCTTCATGTAGCTCGTTGACAACCTGCCAGTCCACATTACAAACTGGGAATTGTGTTTTAAAAGTCATTTTTAAAACATTTTATCTGTATTTTCAAGCCCTGATTCACATCAGATTGAGTCAAATTCATTTAATAAATAAAAACACGAATGATTAAGAAACGTGTCAACAGCCAATCAGGAATTCAAAGGACCCAGTGGTACCATTCAACATCCCTGCTTTTCAAACAGAAAAGCAGGGATGTTTTTTGGTTTGAGTTGGTCTTATTTTCTTTTGGGAGGGACAGGCAGTTTTATTCTGTGGTCACTTTGCCAAGGCTGCAGTGGCTTAGGGTTGAGGGTATCTCACCGTGGTGGTTGTCTTCTGCTTTCAGGAGCGGGGAGAGATCTACGTCCACCGCCTCCTCCCGCCGGGCAAACTGTCAGTCGCGGTTTGTGCTGCTCGGCGGCGTGATGCTGAAGACTCGGATGCGTAGATGGGAGGCGATCTGGAGACACACGCCTGTACAGTACCATGTCAGATCCAGAATAGAGAGGATCTGCAGAAAAAGAAGGGGTAGAGGGTCAAAAATCAGACAGTAGATCAGTGAAAAACATTATACTGCAACCCCCTCAGTGGTGATAGCTAATTAATGAACCTGGATGACCATTTAAAGAGCAGCAATAATGTACAACATGGACCAAGTGAAAATGTGCTAGTATAAATGAAAACAACCAGTTGGTTTTTCCTTTAATTTTTTTCACCCATTGGTATATGGCAGTACAATAATTACTGTCTGGAGTACCGCTTTAAAAGAGAGGAAACGGTTAATTCAAAGTTCGTCCAGTACTGACCATGGCGATCCAGAGGACTACGTGCTCGTCAATGAAGCTGTTGAAATACTGGTTGAGGAAGAGGAGGATGGGCCCTATAAAGGCTGTGTCTGGGAGGTGCAACTCACTCTTGGTCATGTGTGCTATCTACAGAAGAGGCATGAGTTAAAGAAAACAGAATCATATACAAACAAAGGAATCGTGTCAAACATAAAATTGGTCAAAAGGGTGCTCAAGACAAATGAAACATACCACCAGCTTGTTGGAGATCTTGGCGATAACCAAGCCAAATGTGAGCAGGTACAGACAGGGGTGATGCTGAAACAGATGGGAGGGTGACTTCTTGAAAATGATGAAAGCCATGGTGAGGATGAGGCCAATGTGCAAACCAGGAGTTAGCACACTTGTGTCCTAAACAGAGGGAATATTATTAAACATGTATCACGATATGTTACCTGTTATAAAAGTTCAGATTTTGTGTAAAGAGTGAATATGTAGAGTATGCTGACTTACAGCCACAGTGGAGCCATTTTTGCCAACCCCTCCGTTCAAAATAACATAGAAGTAGTTGTAGCAGGAGTAGAGGGCCCCTCCGATGAGGCCCATAATGGGGAAGGCGAACAGCTTTAGTCCAATGACGGGCAACTACATAAACACATGAGGGTCAAATTAACATGAACAAACAAAAGTATTCTCCTTATAGAAAGAAAAAGGGCGCTTATATGAAAGCTGCAGGCATGCCGAGCATGATGGGAGGGCAAAGCGGAAAAAAAAACAACTGCGGGTGACATCAGCTTTTTGAGCCAGATCATGTCCAATAGATGACCCTTTGCCATGGCATTAGCTACCCATATTTACCTTCTCACTTCTCTCATGTGATGTTAAGTCAAGCCTCCAAAGGCAGCACAGTAAAAGTAAAACACAAATTCTATTTAAAGACTAGCACTAAAAACTAGGAACTGGTTCAGATAAGATTAGTATAGTGTAAAAACTAATGGAGGAAAGTGTTACTATACAATCAAGGTGAAATGTATGTGTTCCTGTGTGCGTACAGTATTTGTAGACACATACATGTGGCTGTACAAAATATATTATTCCCAATTACCATGGTGTGCCAAAGGCTAATGCCTCCAAAAGCCGACATCAGATACATGATTATTATGCTAATCTGCACCTCTGTGACGTCAACCCTGTGAAGAAAGTAGAGAGATTATCCTAAATTTAAGGGACTGTAGCAATATTGAATAAATGTAACACTACTGAGCACATGAGTTAGACTTACAGTCCAAAGCGAAGAGTCCCAGACACATAGGTCTGCCAGTGGGCACAGAAGAACATAAACAAGCCGATGAAACCACAGAAGAACATCCAGTTTGAGTAATTTCCTATGCTGCATGAAATGCATGCTCCCACAGCAACAAACACTGCAAGGAGACACAAAGAGAAGAGCGACAAACAGAGAAAAAGATGAACTGTTAATCCACCATCATATAATAATATGTTAACAAAATGACAGAGCTCCTCTTTGCTCTACTAATGCACTGTTTTTATTAGTTTACACATCTAACAATGCACAGGGGAACAGAACTGAGGTTCTGGTTGCAGCTGATTGATAAAGCACCTGAGGAGACAGCATCACAGCCATGGTCAAAGAGCTCTCCAAGTGCTGAGCTGCTGTTTGTCCTCCGGGCCTGTTTCCCATCAATAGCATCCAGAGACTGGTAGATGAACAGGCCCAGTGCACTCAGGATTAAGGCCCATGATGGCGCCTGAGTGGGGAGGGAAAACAAGAGAGTTTGTAAAGGTGCATTAGCAAATATTTTACTCACTGTCTAATGGATTAGGTGAAAATGGGACAGGATGTGGTGTCTCTCTGCTATACTACCCCACTCCATGGCACTTTGCTGCCTACAGCCCTCCCTTCCAGCTTCTCTACCCCATGTTGTCAAAGTATGGTCCATAAATTATAACCAGCCACTGAGGAGCTCTGGCCAGCTAAAAGTCTGAAACAGCGTCTGGCAGAGTGAAGAACAGGGTCACAACAGTATGAGATTTTCGCGGTATGATAATCATCTCAGAAATATCACAATTTCAGTGTATTACACAGTTACTATTATTAACAGCTACAACGACCCTCAGAAGAATGAAAAAGGTCTTTTTATTGCAAGTGACTGTGCCAGTTGACTGAGCTGGATTACAGCACTAAATTGACCCTAAAGAATAAATAGTTATATAGATGATTTTTTAAAAACTGCATAAAACTATAACATATTACATAACAAAAAAAAAAAATGTTAGCACCAGTAGTAGAGGAAGCATTCACGTCCTTTACTTAAGTAAATGTACTAATACCACACTGTAGAAGTATCCTACTCTGTTACAAAAGGTTCTGCATTAATAATGTTAAGTAAAAGTATTAACATAAAATGTACTTAAATTATTAGTAGGCTACTCAATACAGAAAAATGTTATACTATACAGTATATTATAATATTACATTAATATTCTATGACTCGTGCACTGATGTAAAAGTAGGATTTTGTCAGGTTTGCCCAGCTGCACCTGCCTCTCTCACCTCCCTCACTTTGTTCTCTTTTTTAGCCCCTGATTACACCACCTGGCACACCTACTCCACATCAATTGATTATCACCAGCTGCACCTTATTAGTTCTGCCCTTACTTATACCCTGCTCACCCATCACTCCCTTGCCAGTTCATTCTAGTTTTCTCAGGCCCTCACTGCTGCAGTTGTGTTTTACCATCTCCTTTTGTTGTCATTTTTATATATTTGGACTCCCTGCTGCCGCTCTCCTCCCATGCTGTTTTTCTTCCTCCACGGACTACTACCTCCGGACCTTGGCTCCACTCAACCCTTCCAGTCTGCCCCGGTCAGGTTGATGCACAGTCACCAGTTACCATCTGTACTATACCCTGCTTTCTGTCGCCTCAGTAACCTCCGTTGTCCACCGACCAGCTCAGGAGTGACCCCCAGCGCCGCAGCTCGGCCCACTCTATCCATCTCATCATTGTACTGCTATCTGCTGCTGATCGACACCCGGTTATCCAGTTCATCTCCACCTGCCTTATTTTACCATTCACTGCACTGTTTATAATAAATCACTGCTTGCACTGAAGTCAGCTATCTGGGCCCGCCTTTCTTATGCTCACTCACTCTCCCATGTACGAGCAAACATAACAGATTTGACTGTTGCTGTACTAATTTGTATCCAAGAGCAAATATTGATTCCTTTCATTAGGGATTAACCTGCCGATTATTTTCTCCATCAGTCAGCCGACTGTTTTGTAGAACATCTGACAATAGTGAGATATATTCACTATACCGTTTGATTAAACCTACCGTCAATGTGTACACGTTACCAATAATGGAAGTCCAGATACAAGTAAAAAAAATGTTATCAGTTGTTTATGAAACAAAATATGGATGCAACTGAATGTCACATAAGCCATCTATTTAATCCACTGATACTGTACGTTGTTAATCAGTAATCTGTGTCATTGGATTTAAATCAGTTAGTGTATTGTATTTTAGGGTTTTACCATCCACACACACACACACAATATTTAGCTGTGCATGTACTTTAAATATGAAGAAGGAGGGATTCCAGCATTCAAGCAGCTGGCTGGTTCCTCTCACTAGGCTGAAGGTTTACAGAAAATGTGGACACTAGAGCTGGCAAACACTGTATTTACCACTACAATGTGCGCATATTTGTGACAGGGACAAAGAAAGTCTGTGTTTCCAGAAAGATGAAGAACCCCATTGTGTCCTAAGTCCTGCTGTTTTCTCTCAAAGCCCACATCCTAAACACTTAGACTGGTGGGGACAGGGTCTGCTTGTTTAGAGTTACCACAGAGGCCATGCAATGGAAAAGTCAAAACTATATTTTATGGTTTCATATAAGTTCCTTTAATATGCATTTGTTTACACAGGCAAGGAACCTTTATATCTTTGTAGTCCATGAGTAAACGTGGACAAAGGTCAGGTTTTGCTTTCGTCAATCCTGAATAATAGTAGAGGAACCTGAAATGCCTTTGCTCTTATTTAATTTGGCAGTAAGGACATGCTGTATGGACTGTGGACTTAGGTGCAGGATTGTCATAGTTGGCTTATTCAAAGGTGTGGATTTGTTAACACACACCTATGGATTTCATGTTAGGGCCACTGCTGTACAGTAAACCAGGAGGCACAATATAAGTGGATCATAGGTCAACTCTTACTTCAGCTTATACTGCAAGCCATATTTCTGTATTTTAGGTAAGTGTTTTGTAATAAACTATGCTGAAGGTGGATTTGCAGCAATTTCACATCCACTTAGTCATCTACACTCACTGGCCACTTTATTAGGTACATCTGGACAACTGTATGTAATTCAGTGCAACACTTCCACCTTAACATCTGTTTATGTAGCTAAAAAAAAAATTCAGTTTCAGTTTTTTTCTGTGAAATTGTCATAAATGTATACATTCAATTACATGTTTATTATTGAGGCCATAGTTAAAGGTGGTGTTGTACTGGACAACATTATATTTAGAGGTGTTTCTATATTTTTGTCCTCCCCAGTTACATATATGAGATGGTCAGAACATTAGGAACACCTCTTAATATAATGTAGTCCAGTACAACACCACACTTAACTGTGAGCTCAATAATAAACATAGAATGTAATTTATACATTTATGGCAATTTCATCAAAAACAAACATTTTGAGCTTCATAAACACAAGAGACGGTCTGTAATTCGGCTTACACAGTTGCATGAACCCATTGATGACGTGTAAATGTTATTACAACACGATAAGCTGCGAGACTCAATTAGATAATTAGATAATATCAAATAAATAAAAGATAAAATAGACAAAATCATGACTTTTGCGTATCTTTAGTTCGCAGGTATCCATTTAACTTTTATTCCGACTTCTGAATTGAGGGTTCGCATTCTGTCCATACCAGTGAAATGGTGTAATTAGGGGTGATCTCCGTGTAGAAACTTTTGCCAAGCTGGTATCACTCACCTCCTCTGTTGCCGTGGGACAATAATACACTAGCACCAGTGTGGTTAGGATGTTGACCAGCAGCCCAGTAATAGTCAGGGTGTTTGGTGCGATCCATGTCGGTATTTGCTGGACGAGCCAGTTCCAGTAGATCTGAAACGGTGGCTCAAACAGGGATCGACCACAGGCGCTGTATTTATGCTCCTCCAAACGCTTGAGTTGTACGGGTGACAACGGCTCTGGCCACAGAAAATGTGCCATAGTTTTTCTGCCTCGTTGCTCCTCAAGCTCCCCAATACTCCCAGATAATGACGCAGACACGGATGGCTTATCTTGGTCGTCGAAAACAAATAGCTGGTTATTTGGCATTTATAGCTAGGCGACGAGCCGAAGCCATTTCCACACCGGAACCATGAGATGTCGATAATCTATATGTTTCTAGTCGAGTCGCGTCTCGGCAGGAAACGAGGATCGGGAGGAAATAATATGGCGGTGCACTGGGAAGTTTAGAATCAGAATCAGCTTTATTGTTCAGGTGTGTCGGACACACGAGGAATTTGACTCTGATACATCCGCTGTATATGTAAAAACAACAAATACAAGAGAGCGCGAGCAACCAAGGCTGCCATCGCTGTCGGCGCCATCTTCAAACCTGTTTAAACTTTAAACCTGTAAATGATGTTTAGTCATCATGTACAATATATACATGTAAAATGTTCATTTTTCATTCACTTTAATACATGCACAAAACGTCTCTCTTTCAGTTCTCTAATACGTTCATGGAAAACGCAGGTTAGTGGTACTGATATAGGAACTGTAGTGCGCTGGGCTCTAATACCATCCCTGGTACGCTAGTGGTTAAAGGCGCAGCGCTCTCGCCACTGCGCCCCGGGTTCGAATCTTGTCTTTTCCTCACTGCTACAGTCTCTAGCCCATACAGGTCTTGTACACCTTTCCTTTGATTCTTGCTGCCACTCTTCTGTCACACAACACTCCTGACACATTTCAAAAATACTAGGATTTACCCCCCCCAAAGAGATCAGTTTAAGAGAATATTCTGTGTCAGTCTCATGTCGTAGGAAAGACATAATGAGATAGAGAGCTTAATTGTGGACATTATAAATATTTGAGAACCAAAAAGTTTGGATCACAGTCTGATAACTTTTCCCCCAAAATGAGTTTTAATGAGTGCAAGGTTTAATTAGTTTTGATAAAATATGGCAGGTCCACACAAAACAGAGCTCACAACACAAAACAACTTTTTAAATTTCTTTAATTGTAATCTATGGGACATAGTGTAATTACATTGTTAACATGAAAAGGCTGAGCTTTAATCAAGCCTTAAGTCCAATTTGAATTCAAAAATCATGTGTCATGCAGACTGTGCATAAACCTCTGTGTATAGTTATTAGACATAAATCTACACAGAAAATGTGAATGAACAAATATAACTGTGAATTATCTTCAGAAGAAGGGTCAACACATTCATTTGCCTAACATTACACAAGTCTATGTTCTTTTTTTGTCATATAGAAATTCTGCAACATCATACAAACACCAAACTTTTGTTTATACATTCCCTTTTCTCAGAAATAAATTATCACACTCCCAACATCAATCCACATGTAAATACTGTAGGTATGTGTCACTGTTTGTGCTATATGTGCTTTCTATAATTTTTGTTTTTACACACTACATGACCTTATGAAAGCTTGAACCAAAACACTGGCGACATGCATCTGAGCAGACAGTCTTTTAAACATAAGAGGATGACAAACAAGTGAGATGGCTTTTTCCCTAGTGTAACTAGCTCCAAACCTGCACACAACATGCCACACCACAGACCAGCACATCCTCCATCCCTCTCACCATCCTTCCTCATCTGTCCATCCATGTTCAGGCTGCTGACCTCAGTAGGTGGGAGAAGAATATCACTAGAGGCGGCAGAAGTCTGCAAAACTATTCTGTCTGTCAGTCCTTATCATTTTACTTCTCCTGTTCAAAAGTCTTCGTGTCATTCATGTACTTGTCAATCAGGTGTAGGGGTATTCCACGTTGCATGAGTTCAAAGAAGGTGAACCCTCCTGAAGGACAAGAGGAAAACATTCTTTTATAATGAGGTGGGGAGGCACAGAGACAGATATGGAGAAGGGGAACAGAAAGAGGTAGTAGAGGGAGAAAACTGAAGAGCAATGGGCTGATCAGGCAAAATAAACAATGCAAAGAAAGGCAGGAGTTCACAGCAGCAGCTAAGTCATGGGAAGAGAGAAGAGAGGTGGTCGGATTAGTTCATGTACACAATATACACCAAGTTTCTAAATCAGTGTGTCCCAATTCCATACTACAGTATATACTAATCGTGTTAGCAAACTGTTTTTGCAGATAGATGCTAAATTTAACATTATAGCAAGCTAACAATGACAAAACTAACATGCACATTTTTCACAGGTGTGATATTTCCCATATTCATCTTAGTTTTGCATGTTAGAATGCAAGCTTTTATTAAACTAATATGATAATATGATACTCCAAATCAGTCTCTTCTGCTCCGCCCAGCACTCCCTCTCCTTGCTCCTCTATTCTCTACTACAACTTGATACTGTCTGCCTTGCTCTGCCCAGCTCTTCAGATATTTGTTATGAAATTATAAGAAATGAGAAAGCAGCAAAACCTACTGATCAAGCAGAAATAACTGAAAATCTCTGATTGGTTAGAGAGGTCAATGCCACTCTTAGAAACTATTTCTGCACTGCTGCCAGTGCTGTTCAGTGAGGCTGGGTCACAGGGGGCTTTGACAGCACCTCCCCACAGTAAGACTAGTTTTGGAGCACATTTCTACAACCAAAATATTTAAAAAAGTTGCATACTGTTGCTTTAATTGGCACAGCGTACCAGAGGCTAATGGAATTTCATTAGGCTAACAAGTATTTTGTCATAAACCAGGTATGTTTTTTCCTGGGATGTTCTCAAAGCTGTTTTATCCCTATCCAGACTTGGTCTTACAATTTTCCAGTGAAATGCATTATGGGTATTTTTTTAAGCATACATACTGACTATTTTGATTGTACATTTGAGTAGCCTACTGCATTTTGTTTGTTGCTTATATTTAGTGTGTAGCAGGGAATTGGGACAGAGCTAACATCTGCAGAACTAGGAGAAAAGACATAGTTGAGTCCACTGAAATATAATGCATGTCAAGATTTACTGGTAACACTTTATTTTATAGATTTGTTATCATTTATTGAAAGTTTCCTGAGTTGTGTGGTTGTTTGAAGATAAATTTCACACTTTGCATGTGTAGTTCATATTTTGTCCTCTGAATAAAAGCCTCAAGTTTGTGCTAGCTTTGCATTTAGAAAAAACTGGAAGTGTATCAATTAATCACTCTCTAATGTGACCTATAATTAGTATAAAATTATAAGATTCCCTTTAAGGAAACTTTGTAGGAAATTGTTTGGAAATAAACAGTATATTAAAGACCTGTAAAATAAAGTGTTACCTCTTTAGTCATCTGCAACAGCCTACAACAGGAAAGGTGCTGTCTCCTATGATGCATATATCACTAATCAGGCAGATTCACACACACAACATGGAACATTTCCAGTGTTGGTTTCATTTATTTGATCCTGTGACTTTGTTCAACAGCAGCTGAGAAAAAACCACATAAGTAGACACATCAATTGAGAATAAAACTCATTCTCAGTTTCAACATATGCTGAAGGTTAGAAGGTTTGCAAAACCTATTACATCTTTTTACTTACCTTTTCTGCAGCTCATGGTACATGAGAGGCGGTCTTTAAATTCTCACAATTTCAATTAAAATATTCAAAACAGGGTTGTTAAAGTCAGCCAGCTAAGGATTTTTTTTTTTGCTTTAGTAAAAGCTGTCATGCAAGTCCTGTTCATTAAAGCTCAATTTCTTTTGTTCTTTCTCTGGATCCTGCTTTTGTGAGGAAGAAAAGCTGCCACAGTCCATCCAAATGAGAAACATTAGGTTATAAAAGGCTGGCTGGAAGATGCATAATGAATGACATAAGCTTCATATGCCAAAACCATATGAAAGCTTACCTTATATGAGAACATACATTCACAATTCTTGAGTTTGGACTGGGGGAGAGAGAAAAGAAGAGGGGTTAACAAAATGTTTACATGGAGTTATTTGCGTACTAGGGAATACAGTTGAGTTATTACTGGACTCTTATATGAGGAGTTAACTGTGTGGCATAAATAAGACGCTGGATTCTGTGGAAAATAGTTGAAGATGGAAACATTATATAATACAACACAAAACATCACAGGACTATATGTTATGCCAATTAAGTTGTGACTGTTGACACAGTGTGTGTTGAGGTGGCGCATTGTGATGATGAACAACATGGCTTGATGAACTGGATAGAAATGTGTGAGAAGACAGGGGATAAACCTCTATTTGTAGAAGTGAGGGAGATCTGTCACCAGATATTATGTGCACTACACACACATGAAAGGATTATTATTATATCATTATGCGCATCTATTTTCAAAATGGTGTCCAGGGGCCAGATGCACTAGTTGCTAGTGCACTAGACATAAGTCCAAACGTAGCATAGTTACTGTTAGTTAACATTATAACATCAGAGATTAGTTCTTTTGCACTGCTAGATGTGGCTACTGCATAATTAATTGAGCTCACTGACAAACTAATGCTAGCTTGCTGATATATGACCTCTTTAGAGTAAAGAGTAAAGAGTAAAAGAAATGTGGTTGACACATGTGACCTGGTACTTTATTAAAAACAAAAGCAGTTTAATTATGATGTAAAATAGAAAGATTTAAAGTATTTCTCAAAAATAACACAAAATACTATTGCTCAAATTATAAAACATGATGTTAATAACTTTAGCATAAATTCCAAGATAATATTAGCTGCAGTACATTAGCATAATCAGATAGGTTGCTGGAATAATGCTTAACATATATTTCTTCAAATGTGCATGAATGAATAAAACAATCATGCCTACATCTACTAATGACTGGTACTGAAGTTTAATACATAGTTTGCCCCCCTAAAACTGGTCTTCAGCTATAATGTTACAGCTCATGATGCTATAGTGGCTGATTGCCTTTGTTTGAGCAACACTACAGATGTGTTCTTGCAACAGATTTGCAGTTTACTAAAGTTTAAACTAGCTAAGACATTCCATAAGTTTTAATAGTGCAACCTCATTTAGTAATTCACCAATTTGACGCTAGCTAATGATGACTGAGAACTTAAGAAGGGCTATACACACAATTTTAGTAATGGATTTACAAAGAGCTAGTGCAACCCAGTCCATATACTTACATGTCCACCGCCAATGTGGTCAGCCCTTTATTAGACTTCAACACAGTTCAAAGACTGCGGTACCCTTAATGGAGATGGTTTCCCAAAGCTGCCTTTGTTTCTTTGTACTCTTTTACAATTAATGATTAATCTTGAAAGAGGTTGATTCTGATTGTAAGTGATTTACAGATTTACTTTTTTTCACTGAAAGAAGCAAAGACCCTCAAAGGAGAAGAGATGCCTAAACATTACCACAGATACATGAGTAATAAATAGCTCAAAAGAAAAACAAAGGATAAATCAAGAACTTTGGGAAAACCAGACTCACATAAAGAAAGGTACCCAGGGAGGCACACACCAGTTGCCTGCTGGTCCACACTGACCTTTGACCTCCAGCTTGCACTCCACTTGAGCTTCACCTAGGTCGTTGATGGCCTTGCAGGCGTACGTGCCACCATCGTAGGGGCTGGGCTTCCTGATTTCAAGAGTACACACTCCCTGGTTGCTAAACATGCGGTAGCGTGGGTCATCGACAATGATGATCTTATTCTTCATCCAGAACACTTTGGCCTGCAGGCAGACATAAGTACCATATAACCCCTCTGTTTTATTACTGGTGTCTATTTACTCTTTAATGATATTTCTTGGATCTTATTTTTGCAGTTCTGTACATCATTTATGCTAATTTTGTTCTCACCAAAGTAATTACTGACATCTAGGGACACAACAGTATCACTATAATTTGAACACCTCGCTCAAAATCTAAAGTTGTCACAGTAATGTTTTCAAATTGTTATTTTGGCATTGTAGGAAGAGAATCAGTATATGTATGTATATTTACCTGAGAATGCTACATATCTACCACTTTTACATGTTGTTCTGCAACCTACCTTTGGGTTGGCACGGACACTACAGTTCAGAGTAGTATTGTAGCCGGCAACGGCAAAGGTGTCGATCAGTGGTTGTGTGAACAATGGAGCCTCCTGGAAGTCGTGCTCAGAGTAATCAGGGATCTTCATCTGCATGCCTGTGGGGGAAAGGGTAAAGGAATGGGGCTGTGCACGATACTGGCGCTGTGGGGCACATTTGAATGCTGACGTGCTTGTGCGAAATAACTGGTTATTTAGTTTTCTCCAGTTATGTAATATTATAATATTTAAGTTACAATAACAGTTTTGTTATTATTAGTATTTCTTTAATATTTTTCCCATTATTTTACAAAGTATTATGGTCTTTTAAATCAAATAAACACTACACTACAGCAAGCAATTAATTGTTTTTAAGGTTTTGAAATTAATTTAACTTTTACAGTGAGTATTCGTAGCATAGAATTAGGAAACACATTACTTAAAAACCAAACATGTTTAAGTGCATATCTTAATTTGTAATTTCTGTTAATGTTAGTGCATTTAGATTATTTTGTCCAGTGTGTAAGCGTTTGGTTGTTCAGCAGTTAAAGGGACCTGGTGCACACATGGAGGTCTCCTCAGCTGATGGCACATCTGAGGGAGCCATGTATGACCCCGATGCAATGGTCCAGCTCAGATAACAACAGGCTGCTGTGCTCTTTGTACAATCCACAGACAGGTCCATGGTTGCCCCTCACCCCATCCTTCTTTATGCTTTTATAAATACAAGCAGCCAGTATCATACACACTCTTCTCCCGGTTCCTGCACCTCCAAGTCATGAACAATACCAGGCTGTGACCTGTCGGGTACCAACATGTAGTCTGTCATATCCCTCATCCAGGAATTTATCACTCTATAACTGTTTAATCTGACATAGTGGCCATTGGGACAAATCATGTAGTCCAAACCAGGCACAAGAACAACTGACGAAGAAATTTAAGAAAACACTTAGGAAGATATTGGTGAATGAGAGACCCATTGTTTCTCTTTTTATCAGTGACTGTGACTGTGACACCAGTTTCTAAGGGCCTGTCAATCATAACGTGACTCCTGTGAGATCTGAAGGTGAGACAGGCTCTCTTTAGGGAGGAAAACATCAATGACAGTACCCTTCAGAAAACAGCTGTGGAAAAAATAGTCAGCAAATGACACAACAACCTTTTCAGTATTTTTGATATCTGATTTGTTCCAGAGTTTTCACTTTGGAAGTGTTTTTCCCTCATCAGAAATTATTCATTTTTAAGGTAAGGGAACATCTGGATTATGGCAAATACATACATACTTTACAAGCATTCACAGGAACCATGACAAGCAAAAACAGTCATTTCTCATCTCACCATTTTATACATGCACATTCACTAGTATCACAGTCTGTTGTACCTTTTTTGACAATGAGGGCACTTTTTTTGGTTTGGGTGGCAGTTTCACTCAGGCCACACATATTCTCTGCAAAGACCCTGAAGAAGTACTCGTTCCCAACCACCAGCTCTGTGATGGCGATGCTGTTGCGATGGTAGTGGTCAATGCATGTGTACCATTCCTGGAAAGCAGGCAAACATGTAATGTAAATTTTGCACAGATATGCTTTAAATTTAGCATTTTCCCATGCTATTTCAGTGTAGTATAATTCTATCTGCTACCATTGTCTTCTTGTCTGCTTTTTGAATGGTGTAGCCTGTTATTGGGGCATTTCCGCTGTCTCTCGGAGGACTCCAGACCAGAGCAACATTTTCTCCCCATACGTCTTCAATTGTCACACACAGAGGGGGTCTAGGTAGATCTAATAATAAGTGAAAGGATAATGAGCAGACAGTTTGGTTTTGAAAATTGACAGAATTCCAGGTAATTATCTTTACTGTGCTTTGCAGACAATGTTATGAACAAATCTTTTATTTTTTTTTTAATTGTAATTTTGTGTAATACCATGATTCATTCACTTACCTATGATTTGTATATCAATAACAGCTGTGTCCACAAGGTTTTCCACTTGCACTGCCATCTCATACTTCCCAGAGTGACTGCGCTCTGCTTTACGAATGAAGATGATGCTATCACAGTCTGAGTTACGGATGTTGACGTGGGAAGGGTCTATGGGCTTGCCATCCTTCAGCCAGGTGATCTTCGGCCTGGGTTTGCCCTACAGATGTCAACACAGGGTTTAGTATTCTGATTAGGGCTGCAGCAAATATTAAGTAACTCAAAGACTGCTTTACCATAAATGGCACCACAAGATTGACTGCTTCTCCAACTCTAAGAGTGTAGGTCTGCTTCAGGTGTCGTGGGACACGAATCCTGGGTGGTTCTGAGAAGAAGACAGACCAGGAAGTGCGAGACTGAGGAATTATTCCAGTTTGAAGTTTGATTAATACTTTTTTTTTCAAAATACTCAAATTTCAAGCTAAGTTTTAGCATAAAATACAGTAAATACTTCTCAAGTACACTGTAGACTTATCACAGCTCACCAATAACCTCTTTGACCAGGATAGCATGTTGAAGGGACCGTGGAGCACTGGCTCCGGCAGCATTGACGGCCTTGACTCGAACTAAAATCTTACACCCTGGGCTCAGCCCAGTGATGGTGTACTTGGTCTTCTCTGTTAGCTCCTTGTTGGATATTACCCAATTATCAGCTGTAGAGAAAAAACAATCCAGCTGAAAAAACAATTTGGTAACAGGCTTCACTGAACGTTCTTCTGTTTACATATACATTTCTGCCTCTGGCCTAAAATCTGTTTGTACAAGCAACTTATGGTCGGTATACATTGTGCAATAACAGTGAGCTTACAGGTTCCCTGGATGTTATGCTGTGCAATATAGGTCAGAATAGGTCAATCTTGGTCAGAATCTGTGTATGATTTTAAGACAGTTCAGATTGTGCAGTGAACTACTGTAGGTTAACTGTTAACTCTATGTACAATGATCATTTTAAAAATATGCAAGCAGAGAAACATTATTGACTTGCATGTTCTTTCTGCATTCTCTCAGGCTTTGAAAATGCAACAAAAAGCTAAGTTAAGAGACTGTGGGCTGTAGCTGTGTATTCACAGACACTGTATGAGAGATGTATCAATCTTTTCAATGTACTCTTGGCAAGAAAACAAGAGTATTTCGCAAAACTATTCCTTTAGGTTTGATAGTGTGAGTTGATGTGGCAAAAGGCTGAGGACCAAAACATGACAAATATAGTGAGTATGAATGTTCACAAGTGAAAGAACTTTGTTACGAGTTACTGTCTGGGACACAGTCTGTAGAGGTCTTTAGTAGATGTGATATTGACTCACATCCTTCTATGCAGTACTCCACTAAGTATCCGTCCAGACCAGCAGCTCCAATGGTTTCAGGAGGACGCCACTTTACTGTCACTGTGGTGTCAGTGACATCATCCACGACCAGCATGGTAGGCTCACTGGTCACAGCTGAGAGGAATGGGATGGTCATAGTTAACCGGTTAATTTCCAATAATGGATATGAACAAGATTAGAAAACACCCATTTTGTCAAATCATGAACACACTGGCTGGTATGCTATCAGTCTCCACATGAGATCTCATTAGTCCCTACTCTTACCATCTATTCTTGTACTCTGATCATATCTAACTCCTGTTGCACCCTCTGACAGACCTGATCTTTTGGCAGCCAATATAAAGACATATTTAACATTCTCTAAAGTTCCTGCATGTTCAGTGGAGGTCACACTCCGAATCCTTGGGATGGTGGGGTATAGGGTAACAGCTGTGTTGCTGGAGTACCAGGGGCAGCTCACACTTGTTCTATCATGGTCCTACACTTTGAAATTTCATCCAATATTATGAAATATTAGATAAAATGAAGCCTTCTGTAAGAGTGTAATACTTTTCTGGACAAATTATTGGCAAATCAAAGGCCAGTCTTTACACTGCTAAGTAGATATTCCAGGAGACATTTGGGCTACTCACCAAGGGGTGTAAAGGCTTTAGAGGGTTCACTGGGCCTGGACACACCAATGGCATTAACAGCAAAGACACGCACTTCATACGGCACACCTTCAATCATCTTCTTGGGTTCATATGATGTCTCTTTGATCAGGTCAAAGTTTATTCTCATCCATCTGGAGCTCTGTTTCTTCTTTCTTTCGATGAAGTATCCTTTAAAGGAGAGTCAGAAAGGCTGACATTTAAAATCAACACATACTACACGTAAGCTGCGGTAGTATTAGTTTGATTTTTAAAAAAAACAATGAAAAATATGACTATTTATCAACAGTCTTTTCTATGATGCCAAATGAATGTCACTAAACAGTAACTGTAACCAAATACAATTTAGCTGCCAAAAAAAGGTGACTACAATAAATTAAATATCCCTCTATATTGTTACTGACGAAAGGAAGAGACAAGATAATAATAATAATAATAATTATTATTATTATTATTTGGTTTGGACTTGAATAAAATCTGATGTATACTACTTGGCTTGTGTTGTAGGCAAAGAAATTCCAAAGACCTACAAAATTACAGAATAAAATCAATTGTTTTCCTGCACAGTCCTGTAAAACTGAGGGTAGGGTTGATTACATTGGCTGTGTTCTGTTTAATTTTGTGGGGTTGTCTTTGTTATTCACAGCTTGTGTTAACAAAAAAGAAGGTTTTACTGAAATAGTAGGATAGTTGCATCTTCAGTGTTTTATCCTTTTTCATGTCTGGGTGTATTGCTATAGCATCAGACGCTCAAAGTCACATTAAAACCTGCCATTTTATGGCTTTTGGGGCTCTTTTAGGGTAAAATCATTTGGATAAAATGTGATTTCAAAGCAATTTGCTGAAGGTTACCTGAAACAAACTAACAAAAACAAACTAATATAGCAAATGTTTTCTTTGACAAAACTAGACAAATTCTTTTAATAGTTTTCTTTGACTTAGACAGGACTACAATGTCCAGAGATGTAATTAACCAAAAATGAAAAGAATGAGGAGGACTAAAAGTATTATGGGCATCTGATTTCACTGCTAAAACAAAGTCTATAAATAGCTGCCAAAGTTAACACTAAGTAAGATGCGATGTTCACCTAATATTGGTGAACCTCCATCACATATGGGGGCTTCCCATGTCATAGAGCACCAATCACCACCCACTACTGGGACCAAAGGAGCCTCTGGAGGATCAGGGATGTCTGCAGATAACACAAAAGCATGTTACACGATACAACACACACACTTACAATTCACCCTGTGATTTGATGAAGTGTTTTGTGATCTCTTACCTACAACCTTGACTTTGATGGTGGCTGTGGCCTCACCAGCCTCATTCTGCAGAGATATATTGTAGGTCCCTGTGTCCTCCCGCTCTGTGACATCTATCGTCAGGCTTGTCTGATCACTGTACGTTTCAGCTCGAACACGGTGGGCTGACTCAAGAATGACCTGAAACAAAAGAGAGAAAAAAATGAAATATAAGGCTTGAAGATGGGGAAAAAAAGATTTGGCGACCGCAAGATGACATTTTAAAGCAGAAGTCTGGAAATATTGAATCTTACTCAACAAATTCCATGAAAGGGCCAAACCAACAATTTATATAGCCTATCATAACTGTGTATGTGTATTAAAAGCCTGATATATTTAATTTCCTCAGTAAAATAGAGTGCCACTGTTCTACAGAAGCAATTAATAACAGCTATTCTGTTGTTGTGATATGTTCCTTCATTACTGTGATAAAGGTCATTATAGCTTATTTTGAGTCAATCCCAGATACACCATCCTACAGAGGGAAATACTCAAAAGAATGGACAATATGTGTTAAAATTGTCCCTGAAAAATGCAAAATTTAATCCTGTAGAAATTTATTGTGCCTTTTTAAACTGAAATACATATATATATATATTGTATCTGTGACTCCTTTTTCAGTAGTAACCAATGGGCTGCAGACAGGGACGGGAAGTCAGAAGTATTGAGAGAGACTAACACATTGGGATTTGTTGATTGTGTAAAAATATAAAATAACACGAGCTGTGGCCTTTAAAAGAGTTTAATGCTAGACAGGTTGAAACACACCCTTTCTCCCTTTGTCCACACCACACGGGGTGCTGGTTCTCCACTAATTGGGATTTCCAAGCGAAGTTTGTTTCCTGCAACAACTGTCACGGTGTTGTCTGGGAAGTTCAAGCTTTCCAAGTGCACCCTTGGAGGATCTGCAAAAAAAATCAAATCAATTCAAGAAAAGATAGAAAACATACAGAAAGATATAGAATGCACCAATCCAGTAAAGCATAGTTTGTGTACCAATGATGTGGATTTTGGCAGTGAGGGTATGTGAATACCCCTCAGGTACAAAAGTGTAATCTCCTGCATCATGAAGAGAACATGACGCAATTTCAAGTCGATGTATCCTGAAAACCAAAAACACATTAGTTAGCAGTTATGTGAAACTGATCATGATTGGTTGATTTTATCAGAGAACACATACTTATTTCTGTGTATGATGTTGATGCGGTCTGTGGGCTGGATCAGCTGTCCGTTCCTGTACCAGTGACCTGGGACATTGCCTGGGTAGATCTCACAGTTCAGCTTGAGGGGTTGACCCAGCAGCACTGTCATATCCTGCAGGTCCTGGTAGATCTTCAGTGGTTTCACTGAGTCGAACAGAGCAGAGCAAATATTTATTACCAGTTCCTTTGGAAAACCTGCAAGCAGTGAAAAGGATATTTTTAAAAAAAGATTCTACATACAGTCAACCTGTACATGAGCCTCAGACGTGCCACCAGTGGCCATGATGGAGTATGTCCCAGTGTCCTCTAAAGAGGCATCATCAATCACCAAGTAGTGTTTGGTTCCCTCACACTTAACGCGGTATCTGGAGCGCACTCCAGTTGAAACCTCAACACCGTTCTTCATCCTGATGGAGTGTTTTAAATACTCACAGTAAATAGACACACTCCACTGGTAAACGAGCAGCAAACAACTTATAGACAAACTTACAAACAAATATTGATTCATTGTTCATTTATTATTGGAAACTTTATTCTTAATATATTTTAGTTGTACACTTGCCTTTAGAATTTTTTAACTTTTTTATGTTCATCTGACTTGATGTGCTCTGACAAATATAGTAAAGAGTGAACTGTAATTCATTCAACATTTTCTCCATTTGACCTATTATGAGTACCAAATTATATACATCTTTTCAAGAAACTAGAAATTATTTGAAAGAAATATCAATAATTTGGGGCTTTTATCTCAGTCTGGTGGAATTAGTTCCCCACATGCATCCTATCACAAAAAGTGGCATCACTTGTTGTTCTATATTTGTTTGCTTTATCTTTCACTCTAGTGAAGATGTTAACTATTGAATTTTCTCATTGGCTTTTTTCCCCTGACCAACTATTGACCTCTTGCTTTAGTTTGGCATAAAATGGTCTAGTTTGAATCTTGGTAACACACAATAGCAAATATTTACCCAGGCTGAAAGAGGTGTCTAATCTTTTCAGCAACACATTACTCTAATTACCTTCATAGTCTTACCATTTGACTTCAGCTCCTTCCTCGGACACCTCACACTCCAGCTCAATCCTCTCATTGACTGTGGTCTTCACGGGCTCAATACCTTTAACTATCTTAACTGGCAACTCTGTAAGACAGGAGAGTAAAAAGCTGCAGCATATCTGGTCATATGAAATCTCTATATTTTAAATAAAGGTGAACAGTTAATCCAGATACCCTTAACAAACAGCTCCGTGGAACACTTCTCCTCTCCTGCAGCTACAGTATAGGCTGCATCATCGTTTGGGTTGCAGTTGTTGATGACCAAAATCCTTTGTGTGCCCTTATGCTCAAAAATATACCTAAACAGGAAGTTTATTAGTTACAATACTGTTAACCTAAAGACACTGTAGCTATGTATGAGCCAGTATACAGTAATCCAAAGATAGGAATTTATATTATCCCAAGATACTAAGCCAAAGAAAGGTAATCAAAAAGCATGGTTTGCTACAGAAACCAAAACCTATTCTTAAAATCAAATAGTTTGGGTATAGTCAGTCAACATGCATCAAATACACTGAACAAACCCAGAAATCAGGATAGACAGCGAGACAGGGTCACACTAAAACTGTGACATGGAAAAGGGAAAACCGACTGGACACATGAACTTACTTCCTTTGACTAAAGGTCATCAGAATGGGCCAGAATGGGGCCGGAGCACAGGGATTGTACACGAAGTGGTTATGGCAGACAGGAAGGCGAACCATGAGATGACAGACATACAAAAACAGAGAGACATCATGCCTCAAAGGGTACAATATGTAGTCAGCAAGAGTGATACAACAAAGAAGCTCAAAAGAGAGAAAAACAGTGTTTTACAGTGAAGTCTTCTGAGCAGGGAGCCTTGAAGTAAATGCTGCAGGAGACTAAAACCAGAAAACAGCAATAACCTCCCAGATGGCTTTAACCTCGCGTGGCTTTGAACATAATCCAAATCGTCAGCTAATTTAATGTTTAATATATCATGTATGTATACAACAAGTCAGAAATTGTGCTAATAGTTACTTTAGGTTAGTAAACTTTTATTGCTTTTTCATTGTCTCTCAGTCTAGTATTACTACACTGTATACACTGTATAACACTGATGATTATTATTTCAGAGGGACTGTGTAACTGAAAACAAAAAACAATGAGCTGAAAGACACTAAAAACCACTGAAGAGTTGAAGAGAGCTGCAGAGTTTGGCCATAATTCTCCACAAGCAGCCCCTTTCATATTACATCTGGTCGTTTGAGCCATTGTTAATATAAATTGTTAGTTTTAGCAGCTTTAAAGTTTAAGCATAAAAAATAGCCTTTTTACAGGCTTATATAACATTATCTTTTAAGAAAACAATCTTAATGTGATGATTTGAGGACTAATATTCAAAACTTTCAGCAAGTTCACTCATGGCCCCCGATTCATCCCGTTTAGTTCAAAAACATCAATTGCACTAAGATATTTGCACAAAAAAAACAACAAACAAACCATAATGCCTACTTAATAATGGGATTGTTGTTCTTAGGTTACAGTAGTAATCTCTTGTTAAAGTACATGGTCTATTGGCATTTACTGTGTGATTTATTCCCTGTTAAATCTGTTGCACAGCCAGAAATGGTTAAAGACCTGTGAAGGAGGTACCACTCTTTTCCTGCACTGAGGAGGACATATACAGCAATTAGTGACAAATTAAAGACAACGGTTGACATTATATATTGCATTTACACTCAAATGTAGCTCTTGGGCCATTTATTGTATCCATCCCTGTAATTTAAAAAGTAACTGTCACATTAATATCTGTGTTTGTATGGGGCTGTGTGGAAAGTGATTAGAGCCACATTAGAGCATAGAGTTGTCCGCTTGCAGCGGTTCTCAGTTCAGAACTGAAAGGCCAGCTGCACATACTAATGACAGTAATATAAGGGTGATGTACAGTTACAGAAGAAATGCTGTTTTAGTGTTCTACTGTCTTAATATATTTCCACTGTGCTACTTGTAAAAATGTAGGTTTGTTTGCCCAAGGATATGCTTTTGAACTTTTGTAAATTGGTGTAGAGGACAAATCAGTGGGTGCTTTAACACATGTGAACCATTGTACATTTTAGAGGTGACAAAATGAAAACACATAATACCAGGAACATGGTAAAGCAAGGTACTGCCACAAATGAAAGGCGTTTTCTAATAAAACTTCTTTCGCTTGTGCAGTATTGAAAGGGAGAAGACATACTGTAGAAGATACACAGAAGAATATGTTATTACATACTTTGTACTGGGCCTGATTTCAATTCCGTTCTTGTACCACTTCAGCTCGGCAGTGGGGTCAGCCAGGTCGACCATCAGACGGATCCTTCCACCTTTATCCACCTGATATGCTGGTTCAAGCTTCTTAGCAAAAGCTTTGAAAAGAAGAAGTTAAAGTTGCAAAGAAGGTCATTAAAAGTCTGTGCATTGCTTTCTCCAAAAATTCTTTTTGATCAAACATAAAGCAAACACTGATATATTTACCTTCATACTTCTTCTCCTCCTTAGGAATCTTCTTCAGCCTCCTCAGCATACCCCTCAGATCTGTGATACCGTACATAAAAGCAATCTTCTCATATTCCTCTGGCTTGGCGTTCTTCAGGATCTCCCACACATCCACCTCGGGAGTGTCATCTTGCTGTTTATACTCCCTAGCAGTTCCAGATACGAGGGAAGGATGTGAGGGACAGAGTCATATGCTGGTGTTTGCAACGTGTCCTGAGAAACTAGCTCTATGAAAGGGAGTTTAGAGGCTCGGGTGCAGGTAGGAGATATCCCTTTGGGTCTCACAAACACAAAACTTTACTTCAACGTCTTTTAAAAACACTTTTACAGGAATAATCCTTTTGTATAATAATGCCTCTATTGCCCTGCAGAGGGTTCCTCAGGACATGTCACACAAAGGGATGGGCTTGGGCAGCTGTCCACCTGTGTGTTGACATTGGCTCTGGGGTCACATGATATGTTCAAGATACACCCATGGAACAAAAATCAGGATGGATGATGGTCAGTGAAGTGCAGAACTGTATGTCTTAAAATAATCAAAGACTTCTCTTTTTTAAATGGAAACACAGCTCCAATTTCTAAACTGTCTGTGCAGGATAGTTTGGTGACTGATGATGTTTTACAAGATTAATCACAAAATAATGTATTGATCATCTTCTGTCATGACTTTATGTATCCAGAAAATGATGTAGCATTTAAAGTCAATTAAATACAGTGGCTTGTAATAAACAAATATGGAGATAAACCCTGCCTATGAAACCATTAAAAAAATAAATCCAACCAGTAATGACAACCACAACTGGTCTTTCACTTTCATGACTGCCTTGTTTTTAAATCAATTTGTCCTTTGCATTTGCCATTTGGAGCAGGTCCCTTTCTGAAGCCATTGATTTGAATAACAATAATCATGAATGTGTTTTTCTGAGTAGGAAACAGGAAAAGAAATAAAAGTCTCCTAAGATGGTGCAAACCAATGGACAACCTTTTTGATTTTCAAGCTTAGTCTTATTGTTAAAACCTTGATTTTATTCCATGGTAACCCGGAACCTGCAAATATTCGGTTATCCTGAATATTTATAGTATGAATCTGGGGATGAAGTGAAAATATTAAAGGGAAATTAAAACAGGAATTTTGATCTTTTTAGTTTAGACACTGATACTAGACTTAGGAATAGGTGTGGAGACACACAAGGTCTTTATCAGTGTTGTGGGATTAAAATCACACACAGGAGCAGACACAAATCAATTAAGGACAATTTTCTTTGCCTTTCTTGTAAATGTGTCATTCAGCACACCATTATAGTTGACTTTCATAACATAACACATTGATATGCAGCATGCAGGGAATCAGGGAAAACCTGCAACATTTAACATGTTGTCGTATTTCAGCCCATCCCTTTGTTTGTTGTTGTTTGAGTGATCACTTCAGAGATGCTCCGACACTGTTAGATGATGAATGTGTCTATAGGAGATGTTAGGTTTGTGAGATCCAGGTTAATGAATATGTTGCCCTGGACATGAGTGTATCCATTAGTTTATTGGAAGAACATTCAGTCAGTCCTTTCTTTCATAGACATTTTCCCAAATGTCTGAAAGGTTGAAGGTGAAAAGCATAAAATATTATTCCATTCTTTGCTTGTGCTTCTCTATCTGTTTATTTTCAGGCATTTATGAAGTAGGCAAAAATAAACATGGTGGTAATTCCCTATATTTCTGGACTGAAATAAAGTGACGGTGTAGTGATAACACTATTTTACAGCATCATTTCTCTATGGCCCACTAGCACATCATTAATGATCCAAAATGGTGCGCCCTGCCTCATAAAGGTGGCATTTGACTCCATGGCATAATTAAGAGCAGTTACTCCAATGTGTTTATGATGCAAGGCCCATTTCCATCATTACTGATTGCTGACAGAGCAGTTAGGAATGCTGCCTTCAAATGAAGTGTTACCGAACTACAGAAGGCCAACACTCTTGCTTGTCCAATTCCTAGAGCTACATGTCATGCTGGGGACTCTACAGGATTACAGTACTCACCTGCAGTAAGGTCTAATCATTTTAAAATCTATGGTTTCTTTCTACTAACCTTTGTTGTCTGAATATGTAGGGGAGAAGAAGAGACAAGCCGAAAATAAATGTATAATTTCTCCGGTTAACAGTGCCCAGCGCTATTTGTATTCACACTTACAATAAATACTGCATTGTATCATCTCAAATAGTTATCACGGTATTTCATTTGGGCCACCACAGTGGCTTTGATATAGCATAGAGGTTTTCAAACTGCAAGGCATGTCTCTCATGTGGGCAGGGGAGATTTGAAGAGGGACACGCAGGGAGAGACATGAGGCAAAGCTGCTGCATCAGGTGAAAGGAAAGTAAGATAGGTCTACTTTAAAGCGCTTAGCTCTCAGTTGCCTCCGTTTGCATCAACATTTGAACTGCTTCTCAGAGTCGTAATTCAGTCAAAGCTGAATATACAGACATAATATACATATTTTAAGATTCAGTGTGACTTTCACTTTCAGAAGATATCATTATCTCTGATATCCATCATAAATACATGTTTATAAATCCATTTAGAAATGATAGAAAAAAGGCTTTCCTTACAACTCCAAAACTAGACTGAAAGTCATCACATTTTCAGGTTTTTGTCAGTATCAAACTAATGCTGTGGTAGTTGTCTGTACATCCATAGGTACATGGGTATAAACATGAACTGCTAATAGCCAATTTGGTATACTATTAATGATGCAAGTTAACCAATATAAGCTAAAAAAGAAAAGTTTTACTAGTAGCTCACATGTGGTGACATTTTACTGTATGTTCTACTTCTGTGTCCCAAAATGCTTTGGGACACAAAAGTAGAACATACTGTTTAAACTGTGACAATCCTTCAAGTCAATGTAAAACAAAGAATAAAAATATGTGACAAAATCCATGAACACGAACTTTTTCCATGTTGAAATATCAGTTTTGATGTGGGGGTGAGGAGAGTTGTGTCCATTTCATGTGAGGTGGCCCCCACCGTGTCAGACTTTGAAAACCCCTGGTATAGAGTGCCGTAGTAGTGAGCCCTAAAACACGGAACTGAGTTAGCATTTTTGCACTTCCAGCTCCCTCACCCTGAAGTCAACTGCTGCATTTCCACTATCAAAACCTAAACACCATACTTCCCTTAACTATCACCAAGCACAGCCTCTAGGGTCCATGGGTCCATACAAACCATCCTGCTTTGTTTTTCCACTGCATTTTCTCTCTGTCGGTCTCTATTTAGAGGAGGGAGGGGCTGCTGCTCTCTCACACATATAGTCAGCTGAGTGTTTACACACAGTGTTTGTATAGCTAATGCTTAAGGTGTGAAGAGATGGACATTTAACCGATCACCAGTGACTGCTCTGTGCACGTGCACCCACTTCCCCCTTGTGCTCCTGGCACTTGATCTTACAAGTACCAGGTGACAAGCCTTACTCAGTGCGATGCTTTTCAGTAGGTTCTGATAACGGAGGAATCTCTAAAGGGTTTTTTAATGGATTTTTAATAGATGCTTGAAATAAGGCCATTCATTAACACAAGGCCACTACATTTTTACATTTAGTTTTATTAAATAAAATTTGTCAGTAAATACCCCATTTGTGATTTTTAATGCTTTTATGTGTCTTAAAAAGGCGGTTGCTATCAAGTGGCAAAATGAGACAACAGAGGTTGCTGGGGACATTAAATGTCATCATACCAAACACTAATCTACTAGCCCGCCTTTACAGCCTCACTGTGTTTAAACTTGTACACTTGCAAACTCTTGTTACTAACTGACACAGCCATGATCACTAGCTAGATCAGATCATGCTAAGAAGATCGGATTTAGTAGAGGAGGTAAGTGCAATAAATCACATTTCAAGTTGGAAGCCGTGGTGGTGACACTGAAGTCATGGGACTGTGGTTATTCCATTTATAACCTAACAATAGCTTTATATTCTAGTGATTGTATTTGGGCTTCAAAATTCATAACAGTGGTGTTCAATTGTAAAGATTATCTTGTTGAACAAAATGTGTACAGATTAGATTAACAGATTCTCTGCCTGTTTCCCTTCTTCACCTTTCTGCCAAGTTCAAAACTGACTACTGGCTTTATTCACACTCAGTAAATCATGTACTAAAGCTTTACAGATCAGTTTTAAACCATTCATAGGAACAACGTGGGGCCTAAACATTTGTTTGTTTCTACAATAGTCCAAATAAAAGCCTGTGGCATAATTCCACTGGCTTTTTGTCAATGGAATCAGGGTGATGCTAACTTCCAGGTTGGCCTACAAAAATACACCATCTCTACGGCACTCTATAGCAAAAATGTATCCTATCATCTGTAGAAATAAACTTGCCACTCATACAGTAGTCTAACACATCAAATTTGTAAACACGAGAATAGAAGCGCATCCAAAAAAGGGGGGCCTTAAATATACTGAAAGGGACAAAATCCACTCAGGGTTGGGATGTGATTCTCACCTATGTTTAAGGAGACCACTAAAGTCAAGCTCCCCAGCATCGTCTTGTCCTTCAGTGCTGTTGTTAACAAGGAGAGATTAATAAAGATTTAATCAGAGCTCAGACAATTACAGGCACTATAAAACAATGCTAAAAGAGCAACACAAAGCAAAGCCTCTGATGTCAATCGATGTGTTAGCGCCAAGCTAACACAGGATCGATGCTAACACAAACCCCTTTTTTGTCTTTTCAGATAAAAGCTTGAAATAGGCAGTTTGTATAAAACACATCAAAAGCTGTCTCAGGCAAAATTGCCACAATGTTTCATCAATGTTGAAACAACATTACTGAGCATTGTGACAATGCAATGAGACTGGAATGCTTTGCATTGCTTCCTAGATACATTGTTTGGAGGCAGGTTTAAAATGCAAGAGTTGGCCTTTAATTACACATGGAGTCAGCTGGTTGATTTGTTATTACCTTTATGAAATGTTAATGACACCATTACACTTATCTTGTCACACTAATACAGTAACATTACTTGAAAGTGAAATGATTCATTGTTTTGCCTTTTGGAATAGAACTATTTCTTTTTTATGTTTCAGGAATCTCTAATTTGTTAGAGATCCTATTCTCTGAAATAAATACCTTGGTTCCTTCAGTTCAAGAGAGAAAATGAAAGACTTTTGAATACCTAATTTGAAATGGTTGATGATGACTCATTGAGAATATCAGTGTTGTAGTTGCACCACACTCTTTTTACCTTCTTTTGAAAGCTGATCGAATGTCAATATGCTGTGAGCTCTGTTCGGACTCTGAAAGACAGTAACAACACATATGCAAGTCTTAATTTTGTGCTATTTCTCCCATATGTCTGAAGATGGATGTAATGCACTTTGTTGCTTTGACAAACCTTTAATTTCCAAGTCAAAGGAACAGCTGTCAAATTTGTCCTTGTAGTTGACTTCACACCTGTAGTTTCCAGCATAGTTCTCTTTGGCCTTTATGATATGCATCTCAAATGTGTGGACCTGCCAGGGGGTGGTATAAAGCAAACGGTATAGTAGCACCATTAGCATGTAATGTGATGCTCATAAGCTCATAAGTGGCAGTAGGTGTGTGTGGCCTGCTGTACAGTACCTTGGTATTACGATCAAAGGTCTCTTTTAGCTGTAAGTGCTTCCCTGTCTTGCTGGCCAGATCCATCCATTTTCCTTTAAACCACTTGATAGTGGGTTTGCGGAGAAGATCTTTGGCCTCCACCTTAGCAACAAACGTAATGTCTCCACCTTTGGATACAAAAAAAAAAAACATGATCGCAGAGAAAAATTGTCTAATACTCTAAGTTTCTGATCAATAATCCACTAAAGTAATGACAAAAACCTAATTGCACAAGTATATGAAAGGCTATTTATAGATACTGAGACTAGTTCCACCTTGGAGATTTTGTTAAAACTATCATGTAAATTTTGAAATAACAGTCTTTCTCTTAAAAACATGAACAATAAACACCCTCTTGCTCAGTTTAACAGAACAAAGGAGTTTTCTCACTACAATCTAAGTTGGTCTGGTATGACCAGTAGTTTATGGTGACTGAAGTTAGCAAATTTTAAATAAATATTGTTGTGATATAACTGAATCCGTTTTCTCACATAATAACAACTTGTGCTGTTTTTGTGGTATATTTTAGCTTTTAACATTATCATGAAAATGTCACTGTGGGCAAACATTGGCCACTCTTCACCAAATATTACATACTGCAGGCTGCTTTTAGGCTTATCAAAACAAGAACAAATACAGCAGATATTTTAGCTGTTCACTACTCCACGACAGTCTTATCAACATGTCTGTTTGAATTTTCGCTTAAGCTTTTTTTTCTGTGCTGTCTCTCACCCACACTGACGGTGCCACTTTGAGGTTTTTCTATCAGCAGGGTGGACAGTGGCGGCTGGTCGACGGGCTTCTCCAGATCGTCCGGGCCCTGACCATCTCCCAGAGACCACACTGGTCAGTAAGGAGAAACATACACATGACACACAGATTTCCATCGCCATTGTGCAAAAATAATAGTGTAAGGGATTCATACTGTTCACCCACCTTTCAGTTTTCATCTGAAAGTTTACTCTTACCACGATAGAGTTACAAAGACAGATAGAAAGACTAAAAGACAGTTTGACACATTTTCTCACTTTCAACAATCACACCTCATACAGCAGTGGGATCTAAGCTTTTTGCAACATGGAAAGCACAAAACAGACAATATGAAACAGAAAGGGCATTACATTTTCATTAAAGGCCGTGTTTAATGGACATTTCTATCAAAGTATGAAGTATTATGAAAATTTGTTGTGTGTAAATTCTGCTTCATTCTTTAATCACGGAAGTTTGAATGTGGATGAGTCACACTGTTACCGTACAGCTGTTGTCTAGATCTGGTGGATGTCTGGACAAAGTCTGGGCATCTTCACATTTCACAAGTTCACCATAAACAAAATTTGTCTATCAACTGCTACCAGATCATTTTCAATGCTATTGAAAACCTAAACCAATTGCAAATGAAAAAGATTTAGTTTTCCAAAAGCCCCATCACAAGATAAATGCGGCAAGGACAAGAGAAAGCGTTGGGGCTACATTTCAGGAAAACTCTTTTTCATATTGCACTACATAGTTTTTCAACAAATTAACCTGGACAGCTGCCAAGCGTGGTTTGATTTAACCTGCTTTGCTGGAAAAAAAAAATTAATAGATTTTCTTGATATCAAAGTTCCTCTTGGTGTTTATGAAAAAATAAACATTACCATAAGAACCTTTTTGACTACCACTTTATTACCTGAGTCTTTTCTCCCCATGGCTGACTCAGGGACGCTATCATCTAAACAAAGACAAAAAGAGGTTTACAGCATATTGTAAAGAATAGTACTGTAAAGTCCACTGAAGCAAGCACACACTCATAAAAAGTAAAGCCAACAGGCAATTAGAAACTTGCAAGCACGGAGGAATTCTGAATCAAAGATCTTACAACAAAACAATCAATGCTTTACTCCTTCTTTGCTTTCAAGCTATATTGAATATTGATGAAATTCTGATTGCGCATTGAAAATGCAAACCATAGATTTGACTCTTATGATCAGAATTCCAAATGTTTTGACAAAGAGTAAATGGGAATTTTTCTCCACAAAAAACAAAAACAGGACCATTTAACACCCTGAAATTAAAATTAAAAGGGAAAAAAGAAACCCCACTCCACTAATATGAGTGTATTAATATGTTAGCAGGGACATCTTGAACATCTTTACTTCCTCCTGTTGAAAAGGCAAACTCCAAACACACCAAAACATTGACAAATATACATGTCACCAACATGTTTCCTGTGTTCAGACAATGGGTCACTCTGATTTAGAGAAAGCTAGTGGTTTGGTTGGTACTAAATGGTGGTATGATTTAACAGGGGGCTCTTACTAGGCAGCTCTATTGAGAGTTTCTTGGTTGGTTTGGCATCCTCTGTGAAAAAAGCACAGTTATCATTGAAATGAATCAGGATAAAATCAGCTGTTTCTGATGTTTTGATGGTGTTACGTCTGTATCATTGCAGGTGTGACTAACTGCTGGATGCTTTCCATTCAAAAGCTTAGGGAAGTGACTGCTCAATCGTCTATTTTGTTTGGAAGCTATCCCAGAGTACATTTGCTAAACCAACCACATATTTCTCACCCTTGAAGCCAAAATACTGTGTTTGAAACCACCTGGAATAAAGCACAAGCTTCAGCTTTAGAGCTTGTAGCAAGATTACAAGTGAAAGGGCAAAAATGTGCTCATTCAGAGGCACCAGAATGAAGAGAAAAGGTTGCCACAGCTCAACAGAGGAGCCGGTTAGCCCAGACAAGTCAGTGAAATAGAGCAGGATAGAGAGGGGCGAACACTGTAAAAGTAGACAGCAGAAATTACCTTTACAAGATTTTTTTAGGAGTGAATGTTATAATTAAGTACCCATGAATTAACATTTGTTAAAGGCAATTTTTGACTGTTTGCTGCAGGGGTGGTATTTGCATGTTTTCAATAAAAAAAAAAAAAACAGGTAAAATATGCCATTTGTCCAGGAGTGGGCTGTACTGTACATTTTATTAGAAATTTATGTTGACTTTACAACAAAAAAGGCTTCAAGGATCTGGTTGGTTTGGCAAATCTACTGTATGCCTGGTTTACTTCCCCACAGCAGTGGTGGAAAGTAACTAACTACATTTACAGTTTTGAAGTATATGAACTTTACTTAGGTATTTTCATTTTGTGCTACTTTGTACTTTGACCACTACATTTTAGAGGCAAATATGGTACTACTCAATATTCTAGTACTCCACTACATTTCTTTTATAACTTTAGTTACTAATTACTTTTCAGAACCAGATTAATACAAAAATTACAGTATAATCATAAGACTTTATTGTTCACCAGTGGAAAATTCACAAGCTACCTAGCAGTAATTCAAATTCTAGACATTCATGCTAGTAAAAACTAGCTCCATCTGTACTAAGTGTTGCATTAAATGTGAAGTACACAATGACACATCAGTAATATAATGTACATCAATGTGAAGTATTTCATTCTCATAAAGAGTATTTTTACTTTTAGTGTCATGGTCCTGCCCCGCTGGCTTCCGGTTCTCCCTGCTTTTACTCTGAAAGTACTTCCTGTCACCAGCTCATCCACAACCCTGGTAACTTCAGCTCATTGTGCACATTGGTTTCACCTGCCACTAATCACCCACACCTGTTCACCACAGCATATAGCAGCTCCCAGATTGTTCTATGTCTTGTCTAGACTCTCCAGCGGTTTTCCCTGACTGCTTTCCTGGTACCGGACCCTTGCCTACTCTAACGGCCTGTGATCCAGCCTGCTCCCTCTTGTCTGACGGCCAACCTGAGATCGACACCTTGCCTGTACTTTCTGATAATGATTATAGCCTTGTCCCTGTTATATGGACTGCTCTCTTGTTGCTGATTGCCCTGCCTGGATGCCTGACCTGAGTATTCGCCTTGCCCTATTGTTGCCAGCTTTGCTTGCTATCTGTACTCCAGCTCTGCTGCACGAACTAGTACTATATTGTTACTCCCCGGGACTGGCTCTTTAATTGGGTCCCTACCTCTACCCCTACGGAGGTTGCTCACGCTGCCTTCCCTGACATTTAGTGCTTTAAATATGTTTTGATGCTAATACTTGTAACAGAGTATTTTTACACTGTGGTGTGCTACTTTTCTTACATAAGGGATCTTAATACTTCTTCCACCACTGCTCCACAGAATGCAGCTGCTTTACTAACCGTTTAAAGAGAAGCATCCATGATTGTCTCAGAGATGGTCCCAAAAGTTGACATATAAGTAAGAATTGTATAGTGTAAGAAAGATAATTTACACTGTGACATTTTGGTAAATTTACTTATTTGCTGTCTTACCAAGACTTACTGTAGAGGAGAAGAACATCAGTTTCATCTTTGTATGTACCAGTACAGTGGTGGCTCAGTGTTGAATCCATTTTAGAATTAAGACTAAATGACATTAGCCTAGCTCCATCAAAGCTGTCTTTCACTAAGTTAAGCTGCCTTAATTTTGTGTGTTTAAAAGTAGATCTAATTAGTTACCTCACACATCAGAGGTGCTTTTATAGAAAAGCACACCCAATAGCTGCACACAGAGTCACTGGTATTGTTGAGCAACACTTGGGTGTACTGGGGGATGGCTTGGTGGCCAACAAAATTTAACAATAAAATAAAGCAAAATTAGAAGTTTTTAGAAGGTGCTTTCTCCATTTTGTTGTCTCCCTTTCTTCGTCGTTCCAGGCTAGAAATGTGACTGAGCTAGTTTTGGATGCACCAAGATGAAACTGATGTTAATATAAGGACATCAAGTAAATACATTACCAAAATGTCGTAGTATTTTTAAAAGCTAAGTATGTCTATAAAAAGGAGTGCCCCCCACAATGTATTTATCAAGAATGGTTTGAACAGTTTTGTTAGCTATTGACATGATTTGTTGTGGTATAGTAGCTAGAAATAAAACCAAATGTCACTGATATAAATTTCATATAATTTTTAAGCCTGGAGCCTGGGCACAACTTCCTTTTAATAGACAGACATTTTTAAAAATAAATTTTAGGTTATTAACTAACATTTTGCATTATTATGCATATACACATAAAATGTCCATGTATGTATTGTGTATACATAATATATACATGTGAATTATCATTGTCACATCTATATCCTTCATTTGAGCCAAGTAAATAAAGGCTGATGTGTTTGCAGGAATAGCATTTTCATGTAGTAGTCATACATTTAGCACATGTATGTCAGAGCACAGACATACATGAGAATATTTACAGATATGACATGAGCATCTGTACAGAAAATAAAGGCATTTTGAACTGTTGAGTAGATTTGTGCCAATGCCTTTTTGTTAGAGCCACAGACCTGTGAAGTTTAATACACATTAAACACCAGAAAAAGAAAATTCTTATAAAAATAAAAAATTTACTTTGCTATTTTTAAATTCTTGCCATTAGTGGGACAAAAATATAACTCCACAATATAACTGACCAACTCTAGAATTCCTCTCAAAGATTTCAAAGCAGGATGATGGGAGTTGATTTGAGCCTGAATTGAGCTGAGTGTGCCATTGCACCTGTCCTCAAAGTGTGAGGTGAAGAGGAATAAATAAGGAAGTAATAAGAGTTGCTGTGGGTACCAACCTGCTTGGGGTGTTGAGGATGTGGTAGTAGCAGCAGCATCATCATCATCTGTAATAAAGGTGTCATTGACAAATAGATGCCCCCCCCCTATCAAAAAGCTCCAAAAAATCCATCACTGGCAGGCCATCAATGGCCATCGATCACATGCGAGACAAAAACTTGGAATGTATCATGACATGCACCTCTTGGACGGGACGAATGAGACCAAAATATCAGCTGATGATTTGGCCTGTGCCCTATAAAACCCTAACTACTATAAGGGTGAGAGGTGAAACACTGTGATCAAAACTGTGTGAAAAGCTTTGTGCTCATTGCCACAAACTTTTCAAGCTGCTGTAGCAAAAACACAAGCTATCTCACTCTGCGGTGCGTGTACACACACGGGTGTATTGCAAAAAAACAACAACAAAAAAAAAACAAAAACAAAAAAGGCAGCCATAAGCAGCTTCTGCAACGCATATACAGAAAACGTGTTCATGACCAAGTCAAAGAACACTTGAAATCCTGTGTAACGCATGAAAAAATTTCTGCTTCATCACCTGAGCTATATTTTTTGTCTGGCGGTACACAGCGGAGATCAGTTCAACTGATTAGATTGTACAAACAGAACTGATGCAAGGAAACCAGCTGACTCACTTGTCAACACTATATTTGGTGTATGTGTTTGTTTCTGCACCATGTTATTCTACTGTGTTTCTGTATAACTGAACAAAGAACTGAGTTTGATCACTCACCTTACACAAATTCCATCACCTTCATTTTGCCATTTCAGTACTTCATCAATTAGTCTGTTATTAGTCTATATTAGTCTTTATTTCTTTAAAACATAATATCAACAGGTGCAAGTATATACTGTATATTTATATGTTTTACTTCTTTGAAGTCTGCATGCCATTAAAGCCAACTTGGAAAGAGAGACCTGTTTTAAAAGCAAATCCATCAGTGTCTTCAGGCAGTGGGAGTAATGTCCTTTGCATTTTTAGCAACAAAGTCAAAATAATCAAAATTTTCCTACTGAAATTAAAGCTAGGTTTTAGATTATACAAGATAAAAAGGGCAGTTTTGCCATGCTGGTGAGCCATGAGGTGAGCAACTGAAATGAATAGTAAGACCTACAGCGTTTGGTCCTGTGGCATTTGATTTGCTGGAGGGGTAAAAACATGCACTACGACTAAAGGAGACAAGGGATTGATTCATATTTAAGTTGTACACCTACCAGGAGGTTGGGGAGAACAAGGGTCCTCTTCCTTTACAATGGACTCTGCTTGCTCTTTCACCCCTACCTCACCAGGTTGTGGTTGGACTGAGCCATTCTCAGTGAGGCTCGGCTTCAGATCCACCACAGCCTGGAATGGCCCCAGCTCTGGGGGCTCTGGTTTCTTCCCATCAGTCTCTACTGGAACTTTCCCCTCTGTACAGCAGACAAATTGCCAGACTGGAGCAGCAAGCATCAAGCACAAACACCAGCAGCTATGCAAGGCAATACTTGTGCAAAGGAGATGGGTATAGATAGCTAATGAACAGATTATTCTCAAAAGGTGAAGTTTCAAATTTAAAATCATTTATTCAGATTCAATTAAATCAATGAATTGATTGTCCAAAATACTGTAAAATAATTATTGAAGCACAGACGTGGTATTCCATGGCAACTTGTTTTGTGGCCAAGTACACCAGTATATTATACTGTATATATCTGCTCATAGCATATTTATACTGTACAGTTATCAAGGAGGCATGGATTTACTGACTTGCAAAGTATTCTTGTAATTAATAGATTTTTGAAGCTGTTATAGAATAATTTTCTGTCAATCAGCTAATCAATTAACTTAATGTTTGAGCTCTAAACATCTTACTGCCTTTTGTTGGCTTTGGACTTGATGTTTGAAGTCATTGAAACCCAGCTTCCCCAATGCCTCTACTGACGACTCAGTGTGACCTCCAGTGACAAAAATACAAAAACAACCACAGCATGAGTTAGTAACAGCACTACGAAGACCAATGTAAACCAGTGCAGGCATGTGGATATGTGCACAGAACTGGGCTGGCTAAGCTAAAGCTAACCAAATTACCTCTTAGTATGAACACACAGTGTACTGACCAATCATACCTCCACAGGAAAAGTGCAGTTTTAGGCCTCTCAGAGTGAATTAAATAAAAAAAAATCGTGATGGCACACACCAAATAAACGCGTGATGTGAGTGTGATGTGCAAAAGAGTGAAACATTCTGGGGGAAATGAAGGGGGACATCAGGGTTACCCACCTGAAGGAGGAGAAACCTCCAGAGAAATCTCAGGTAGGGGCGGGACATCATTATTGTCTGGGGCAACACTTTCTGAGCATGTGACAAATATAATGGTGGATGCAACAGTTGCTTTTTATAAGCACAAAGCTTCAGCATTTGCAGTGGCTCTCAGTGTCACATTCAAACACACGCAATCAGACTCAGACATTGAAACACACAAATGTATACTAACATACACCTATATCCACCCACCTGCTTGCAAGTAAACGTGCACATTGTCACAATGTCTTTTTTTTTCAGACCATTCTCACTGTTGATACGTACACAGGAAGAACCTATCATAGGGCTAATTTTCGGTCTGAAAATGTACCAAATGTGCTGTTAATATGTCAAGATTAGAGGTTTTGCAGAAGTGACTGATATTCACAGTTGAAATGCACATTAATAAACACACTGAGTTAAAATTATACCAAGACTTAAGGTTGAATCATACTTTACCCTTCCATCAAAATGTTGTGGTGGCACTTTCTGATTATTGTAGCACCACCACAACACTGACAGGAAGCATCATGCTTTGTCAGGCAGTGTTGTGCATTCATTGTAAACCTCAATAATTATGTTAGACTCTCACTTTGAGGTAAGACGTGCTTACATTGGCAATGAGTGGAATTGCACTGAAAATGGCTTATATGGTTATATTATAATCCAGCTTTATCCTGTTCTTATCCGAGTCTTGTGTGGTCTTAAATGCATATGTATGATTTGTGGGTATGGAGACTTTGGAGTTGTTAGGTGTGCCTGAGTACCACGGGGAATATAAGGGTAATGAAATGGATTAATTTTGATGTTGTTGCTTTGAAGTGAGTAATATTTAAAAAGTGACATTTCCAGTTACTCGCCTAGCACTGGTCATGATGCTGGAAATCATGAGCCAGTGCACAACTGGTTTAAGTTACCATTTATGTGGTTCTGACTGCTATTCTAAAATAATATTGAGAAATTATTTACCCAGCAGGTTTTCTCAGAAACATTTTTAGTCTCCCCCCCGATCATGCTGAAGCTTTAAGATGCTACAGCTCCAAGGTCAAACCCGAGCACTGGCAAAAAGCCAGTCAAATGCCAGCACCTTGCTCACATGGGATGGCGGGGGCGTCAGCTGAATCAACAGAAAGGGATCAGCTGGCTGACAAGAGGAATGTCAGACTGTTTGATCGCCGCTGCAGGTCACAGCAGCACAGCAGTGCCTCCATACTGCCGACTACTGGCTTCACATGTGCACTCCTTACCTGTGGCTGTTTGCACATTCACATCAATTCAGGGCTGTGAATATCATAGCGTATTATATGTGACGATGTGCCTGTACATCTGACTTTTTGATGTGTTGACTCAGGTATTCCTCACTGAAGGTGCATGACTCGGTTTCCCGCTCCCCCACTTTGTCCTGCTTTCACTTGTGGAACAACTAGGCTCACTATGATTGTATGTCTGTTCTCGTGCATATATTGCACAGCTATAATCTGCTAGAATGTGAGGTTGCACGGGAGAGTAGATGTCTACCACTGTCTACTCACCTTCTGGCTGGCCACTGGACACCTCATCTAAAGAAAGAAAAACAAAAGACATCGGCATCAAACACGGCACTGAGCTCTCATTGTTTGTGCACATTGAGGCATTTGATTGTTATCC